ACGGGGATTCAGCTCACGCTTGTCATCGGTGCAGTAGACCGCTCAGTTGGTTAATTCTGCTCTTTGTGAAGAAGATACAGCGTCTCTTGCTCATCATATCATCCGTCATGGCTTGGGGCACATACACAATGCCGTACTCTCGGGGTTGCGAGATAGGGTTGCAGGGACAAAAACACACCGCTGGCCCAACCGACAACACCTGCAGCAGAAACACAGGAGCATACTCCAGCGCCGTCAGAAAAAGAGAGAGAGGGGGGGAGGGGAGGGAAAGGGCAACCAGCACCGATCAGAGGATATGTTACTGTACGTCAATCCAGGGGTCTGAAACACGGACCATATCAGTCTCATCAGCAAACACATGTGCAGAACAAGTCTCGGGGGCAAATCGCTCCGATGGACGACCGCATACGCCCACCGGCGCATGTACCTCCTTCGTGCCAACTCAGAAGCTCAGGGAGGGGAAGCAATGAAAAAAGAGGACGGGGATTCAGCTCACGCTTGTCATCGGTGCAGTAGACCGCTCAGTTGGTTAATTCTGCTCTTTGTGAAGAAGATACAGCGTCTCTTGCTCATCATATCATCCGTCAGGCTGGCGTTTTCGACGATTGTTCTCTTTGCATTATACGCTACTTAGTGTACATTGACATTTGCATTGGATTGTCCTAGTTAGTCAACCTAGTAGTAGATGAAAATCATTTGTACAAGCGTAAGTGTGCAGAACTCAATAGTGATGTGAGCACATTCCACATAGAAAGCTGTGTTACAAAGTGCCTGAAGAAACAGATACTTCTATAGCATCCCGATTCCCGCTGATAAAGAACAGGAGTCTTTCAGAGGAGCTAAAGATCACTTTGTTAGTCACGTAGGCGCCCTTCTTTGGAGCATTTCCGCTAAGTTGCTAGGCAGGTTTGGCTTTCCGCTGCTATGAACCTCAGATCGTATACGCTCCAAAAGGTGTGCCTCCCACTCCGAAATGAGTGTGTTTTCCAGGTCCTGCTCTTCTGCATCCATGAACGCTGCGAAGGCACTCGGGAGCTGTCCCATAGTTGTGTAATTGGGGCTTGCAGTATCATATAGGAATGCCGCCAGTGCACTCACCTTCGAGCTGTCTGCGCTGTGCGTGACCGCAATGGGACAAAGTGATTCGGCGTGACGGAGGATGACAACCTTGTCCCTCAAGAGTGCCGCACTTGATAGAGACAAAGCCGTATCCGTGAGAAACGCCGCGTATACGTGTGGGCATTCCTTATGCAATTGGATGTTTTCTGCACACCTAATCCACTTACGACACCAGGCGACAATGTGAGTCTGCGCAGCCGGGCCCGTCGGGTGGGCGAAACGAGCCGCAATATATCGGTAAAATAGAATGAATGCCTCACATGTGAGTAGGTAAGCACTGTGGTGTTGCCTCCCAAATAGCTCAAGAACATCCTGCATGAGGTTCTTCATCTCCTCGAAGAATCCCTTTCCAATGATGCCGTGCGCGGCGACAGCCACAATACGCTCCGCCTGACGACAAAGTCGCGTCTCCTTTTCCAACGGCATGTCGCTGTCTCGCCATCGCTCTCCGCATCGGAGGCACAACCAAGGTTCGGACGGTGCGAGACGTCGCTGCAAAGCCAGTTGGTTCGCATGCTCCGGCGAGCCACCGTCACCTTCTTGATGCTGCCCACAACACTGACGCCGGTACCGCCAACCATCCTCACCTCGGCAGAGAGGGCATGGAAAGGCACGCAGAGAATCAATCCCGGTGTACATTATTCCTCTCTGCTCCTCCTGTTCAACAACTATTTTGTTGCGTGAATGATGAAAAAGAGCCAGACTCCCACTGCATCTGTCGCATGCACAGGTATAGCCGACACTGGCGCGGATAGACTCCTGTCGCATGTGTACCGGAAGTTTCAGTAACTGATGCGCAGTGTCGGCCAGAGGTCCTACCCAGAAGGCGCCCATTGTGAGTGGCTCGTGTGGGGCAATCGAGCGCAGGGCTATTAGCCGACCCGTCTCTCCATCCCAGGTGCAGTTGGGGGCACATGAGTAGCGAACAGACGAGGCGAGGTCGAAAAGACCCCATTCATCGGTCTGTAATCGTCGCCGAAAGCGCATAGCAGTAAAGAAAAGATTTACCAGCCATCGAGGCGGTAAATCGTCTGAAAGCCTTGTCAGGTACGTTGTCGCCGACACGATCACCTCGGCGTCGACATACTGTACACCAAGAAATTCCTCCAACAGGAGCGTCACTGCGTCCACAGCATCTTCCGTCAGGCCGGTCATTCCGATTTCGGAGTCTCGTTTTAGCAAAAAAGCATCCCGAAGCGCCTGAAGTCCATTATCATGTGTTGATGTCTGTCTGAGAGACAGCGCGGGAGGAAAGCCATTGCCTCCCCACGAAAGAAGCGGTACACTGTCGCAAGCAATCACCTCGCCGCACGAGATGTCCTTTGAGGACACTGGTGTATTCCCATGAACCATGACAACCTTTGGATACTTGCGCGTCCACACATTCATGCGCTCCTCCTGTAAGAGTCGCACACACGCTGCAACATCCTCTCGAATTTCACGTGATGTGAGCCGGGCGATACCCCGTCGCAAGGCCCACAATGCCCTGTCGTGATCGCAAAGAAAAAGTGATAGAAGTTTTGCAAGGAGCAGCGCAAACACTGTTACCTCTACGGCCTCAACAGCTTTTGTCAATACCGCCTCAGCACCAGTAGCAACCTTTTTGATGAGCTCCATTGTGTCTTCGTTTACAACGCAAGTAGAAACACCATCAAAAGAAGAAACCCCTTCTAAAAAATACAACAGGTCCTCAGAAAGGAGTGGTGCGCTATCCGTGATAACGAAGCGTTTCAAAGTCTCTTCGAATTGCTCACTAAATTGCTGCTGTCGCTTCGTAATCCATTGTGTTCCAATCTGTTGGCTTACAGATGCGCTGCAAAACGACCTGTGCCCAAACCAACCAGCTTTCATGCATGCAATGGAGCAGTACAGAAGCTCGTTGCAACGTGGACAGGGAACGAAACTTCGGAGTTTGGACTCCTCGCATGCTTCATCATCGCTAACGAAGGAACAGGTGAGGCACCTCATATGCGATCTGCCAATACGATAGACCCTACACCAATAGATAGAAAAGGAGTGAAGTAGCGAAATAACACCAAACCACACTAACTCTACTGTAACGATTGAAGTAGTTACAAATCCACATTTCCACCCTCGTCTCCTTCGGCGTCTCGCTACACGCGAAACAGCTTTGCTGTCATTAAAGCGAACCAAGTGACCTTGCTAGGATTTGCCAGGTAATCCACTGTTCGCTCCAACTTCAGGGCATCCACCGCTTCAGTATCACTGGCGCCGCAGTGGTTGCCCAACAGCAGTCGCGCTCTTTCCTCAACTGCCAGGTGGCAGTGCAGGCCAGTCCGAGAGAGTCCGCCCCAGCAGAACCAGCGGTGTGCCCACTGACGAACACAGTCCTCTCTCCCTCCATAAACATTCTTACCGAGCAGCACACGCTGCACTGCGCGGTAACGAAACGCGTTGCCGATCTTCTTCAGCAGAAAAGGTGCCTGTGGAAAGTAGTACAACAGATTCGCTGCGTGACTGTTCACGCCAACAACATGTACACTGCTAGGCAGTCCATTCCACCACCAATCCTGCGCCTGCCGAGGTGTCAGCATGCTGTTTGAAGGTGTGTAAATGAATGTCACCATGTAAAACTGGCGCAGAATTTCGTTCACAGCGGACTGGAATTCACTCTTCGCATCATTTGTGCGTCCGTTTACACCACGGATGGTTGTGGACGGCGATACAGGTATCCATGATACCTTCCAGAAAGCTTTTGTCTGTGGGGTAGAAACCTTTGCCTGCTGCCGCTCCACCACATCCATGAGTGCCTTACTGTAATGAGATGGCTGGTCACTCTGCGCAGCCTCCACAAGGACGCAGCACGGGGCACACTGCAGAATCAATCCAGCGGCATCACGTAGCTCACGTGTACTAAACGACTTACCTTCCCGGGGTGGAAGCACCACCAGCACACCCTCCGAAAGTGACCAGTCCGCCATGTATGGGCGGGCGTCACCCTCACATGGTGAAGCACTCATCCAACCGTCCTCAATGAGTTCATCGAAAAGAAATGTTATGTAGTTTAGCACGAGTGGATGGTTTGTCGTGAAGCAAACCGTACGTCCTTCCACAAAGAGTGAGGACAGCACCGCTGTATGCGCCATAACGCAGAAACGTGTCACAGTACCCAGGTCTGCCAAATTTGGCACCGCGATGTGAATTGGTGTGCTCGTCAGCCGACCATTCTCATCGAGTGGGCACCCCTCACCGCGTAAATAGTTGTGGTGGTACCGCTCGTCCTCCTCGTGATCGGTGGCCAACGGGGAAGGAGTAGTGCTGCGAAGTGCATCTTTCACCGCCCATGACACTTTTGATGATGATGATGATGATGGTGATGATGATGGCGTTGGCGGAGACGGAGACACAGAAGGGGACAGTGGAGTTGCCTGTGCAAGGTGGGATGCTGGGGTCTGCTGCAGCAAGCGGTAGCTGCGCCTCTTTGCCCGCGAAGCCAACTTGTCATCATCGCTCGGTCTCGCATGCAGATCTTGTACAGAACGCAGCAAATGCTTCGGGCTCTGTGCAGAGCGCCGCCCCCCATGTGGACGCCCGCCATGGCGACCGTTGCCGTTGCCGCTGCCGCTCCCCAGGACGCTTTGTCGCAGTTCCCTTTCTTCTTCCTCGACTCCTTCGGGACGCCATGCGTGGGGCGCTGGCACCTGCTCCGCAGTGGCGTTGAGATCTGCGTCCATCTTGACGGACACTGTGGTGTAGGGATCGACAAACCGCTCTGCCATCCGCGTAGGAAACACATCAGCGATAACGCTGCGCTGCACGCGACGTGTGTCGGCGTACGGCAGTCGTAGACGCGCAAGAGTATCCTGGATATCACGGAGAGAACGAATCCACATCAGAAAAGACAAACACAACCGCAGTCGCACACAGTACGGGAGCTCGTGCACCAGACACCGATGTTGCTCCAACGCCACAGGCGATAGTCGCACCACTGCGCTGTTGCACGCCTTCGCCCCGGCATTCACCTTTGAAAAACGCCAAAAGAGCAAACCTGCGGCAAGTGTCTTCACTTTTGATCGCCATCCACCGCCTCTGTCTTTCCCACTTCCTCTTTCTCTGCCCGTGGTTGAACAAGCAGCAGTAGTGGTAGATGGGGCAGGCATCTCAAGCAAGAATGGCGCACGCCTCCCAAGGTCGACAAGCGTTGTCCATTTCTCCACAGGATGCAGGCACAGCCATTCGTGTTTGTGCAAGCCTCTCCCCATGTTGCGTGGAGCAACAGTGGCATGGTCTCCCCTATCGATGTCGTTCTGCTTCGCGTGGATCCGGCGCTGAGGAACACATAGGCACAATGCGTGGCGCAGCAGGTCTAATCGGGACCGCATCTACCATACAGCTTGCTTCCCCACCTCACTGGTAGATGAAAAAGGAAGAAGGCGAACATGGAAGGATTCAGAGATAATTGAAGAAAAGAGAGCCCAATAACAAGAGAAAGGCAATATAATGCAGAAATCCTGTGCGGAAGAAATGGTGTATGCAAGGATCTAACTGTAGGCAGAAGTGTAAGGGAGAGAAGTGGGATGCGTGGTGCGCAGCCCACACCGCAAGAGATCCTAAAAGGAGAGCCAGATCTTAAGCCTCCCTTAACGTACCGCCTCTCAAGACCATCATTCTTGCTTCTGCTGCAAAACAGCAAGAACAGCATCATAGTCAACCACACCATTCAAAAAGAGTGTATTCTCAGTCTTCTGACGGGCCTGCGAGAGACTCCGTTTGAGTTGCAGGCGCCGCCGCTCTGATTCACACCATTGATCAGCAAGAGAGTGCAACGTGGGTGATGCCGTGGTCGCGACAGGAGTGGTAGTAATACCAGCGGGTGGCTGCGCAGGATGCTGTCTTCGTTGTGGCTGTCGAGTGACCGGCTTGGTGGCAGCTGCTGAGCGCCATGGACGGGCGTAGTTTTTCCACGATTTCGGTTGTTGTGCTTCGATATCACCAACTCCACTCTTCGATGTTGCCTCCACAGAGGGAGGGGTGTCTCGTCTAACGTCAATTGCAGCTGCTTTCCATACGGCGTGGCACTGAGAAGATGGAAGAGGAAGTGTATCATCACCACCAGCTTCAACAGTGGCGATGCTCGCATGTGACGAAGATGGCACAGTTGCTGTTGTAACACCAAGAGGCAAACGCGGCTCGCCAAGTTGAGCATGTCGCTGCTCCATCCGCAGCGTGGCGGCGTCAAAGCCCCCCTCTGGAGGGAATCGTTGCGACAAGACGAAGAGCCAGTGTTGGACTTTGATATGATGCACGATGCACATCGGTGTGGAGCGGAGATGGTGCGGGTGCAACGACGACGTTGGAGCATCACACAACTGCAGTCCACGTGCACCTTCGCAGAAGACCGCCAAATTCGCCTCTAGCTGTGCTGGGAGAGGCGTCGTGGACCAGCACAGGCGGGAGAGATCGATACACCTACTGGGCAGAATGGCATACAGTATAAGGGCATAGTCGCAGCCGTCGTACTCGTACGGGGCAGTCCCGGTAAAGACATTGGACGGCAACCGCCCGGAGTACTCCGCAATAAAGCGGCAAATGTCGTCGTACGCCGGCAGAGGCCCAAACACCGCATCGGAAGAGTGCAACGGTGTGGCAGCTTTGCCGTCGCCAATGCGGCTCCGTGTCTCCATCATGCGTACAGACGGCACACCGCGCACACAATCTTTCGTTTCGCTCTTTTTGTTTTTGGCCTTTAGCGCTGGTCGGCTATTCTACCTCTAGTTGCTCGCACACCCTGGCGTGACGGCTGGTAATAGCGCAGTGAAAGCAGCGAAGAAACAGCATGGAGACGCACTGTAAACAAAAGGACGCACACACACAAAAAAACAAAAAAAAAACAAAAAAAAAGCAACGAGATTCACAAGAAAGGCAATGAATGTATTCTGCCTTGTTTAAAAGACCGCCTCATCGTNAAAAAAAAAGCAACGAGATTCACAAGAAAGGCAATGAATGTATTCTGCCTTGTTTAAAAGACCGCCTCATCGTCCAGGTCAGCCTCCCCTCGCCGAGACTTCTTCCCCACTACACGTTCTTCACGCTCTGGGCGTGAAGAAAGCCATGTCTGCATGGTTGGCGCACTCCCAGCCAAGTCCACACCAAGACGCCTAACGCGTCCAATAACGTCACCGCTATGCATCCCCGCAAACAGCTGCCCTTGTTGCACGTCAACCGCAATAGCGAGCACGTTGTCCTCTGCCGTACCTGGCCGCCACACCATGGCTGGTTGATAGCTCCCCTCGATGTAGGTGAATTGCACCACGTGGCCCCCTGCAATGTGTCGGTATCCAGCGCGGCTCGTGCACGTCATAAATGAAGGCTTCCCCTCCGAAAACAACGTACTCGTGCATGGTATCAATGGTGTTGTGTCTGTCGAAAACGGTAGATCCGTAAGCGGTGGACAAACATCTTCTACAATACCGTTCTTCCCCATCTTGCGCAAGTCCAGCACACGCACATTGGAGCCGTAGCGCACACAGAGCATTGGGCGTGAGGAATCGGGTTCCGCCATGCCACCCACGTGCTTCTCTTCGAAGAAAGAATCATTATTTGAGGCCTTCAGACTCGACCCAGCACCAGCCTTGCTGCTGTACACATCCAGAACCCCAATGACACCACCCGGTCGGTATTTTTGGCGTGCATCCCACAATTGCACAAGGCCATCCTCCCCACCAGTAGCAAATACGGACGTCTTGTCACCGGTAGCGCTGAGGAGGGGCACAACAGCCTCCACCACAACGTTCTCAAGCAGTTGCCCGGAGCCGTGTTTCACCGCATAGACCGACTGCCGATCAAACGACGCTGTGTCCCATATGCGAGCGGTGCTGTCTTGAGACCCGGTGAAGAAGCGTGAGGCCATCCCTGGAGATGGCGCCGAACACGTCACAGGTGCTCGATGGCCTTTACACTGAACGACATCCACGACACCACGCTGCCCCATCGCACAGTAGCCCAGCTGCTTGCCGCTAGCCGCAATGAGTGCGGGACAGTCGCCATCCTGGCAAGCAACAAAGTAAGCCCCATCACTGGCAGAATGCACAGACACAATTGGTTGAAATCCCGAGATACGGTTCGGGAACGGCGTGAGAATGCGTGTTGGCTTCACAGCGCGGCTCTCCAATGGAACCGAGAAGTCCCACATACAGAGCGTCCCACCTTCCCCTGCGGCGCACAGCGTCGACCCCAATGGACTCAGGCAGGCGGAACGAACACGACCACTTACCCCACGAAGAGTATACCCTGTCGAAGTCAAGGATGATGCCAATTCCGTTGTCCCTGAGCTTGGTGTTCCCGCCGCCGTTGTTGTGTTCATGACTGGGTGTGATGTTGTTGGTGCCGTCGTTGTTGATGTGGCAGATACCTGGGGCGAACTTGACGGTGCGCTGCCATCGTCATGCTTCGTCGTTGCAGCAACTGCGACAGCGTCCATGTTATGTGCCACCTTTGTGCCACTCACCTCTGCCGGGTCGTACGTGTCGCTGTCACTATCACTCATCGTATCACTCTTCAGACACACACACACGCGCACCTCTTTACGATGTTGTTTCTTTTTCTTTTTTTTTTGGAGGTGCTTTGGATTTCGTTCTCCCTAGTACTGCCGCGGTAACGGGGCTTTTCATCCAAAAAAGAAAGAACAAACCAACAACAAAAAAAAAAACAGGAAAAAACCAGCAATGCAGGGAAAACGCACACAACAACGTTCCTGTACACGATGCTTGCAAAACGGACAGCGCTGGCGATGATATATATATATATATATATATATATGTATTTTTTTCTTTTAAAAATACGAAATAATAAATGGAAAACACAGAATGCTGATCACAGCTCGATCCAACGTCTGTCTACCAGTTCATGCGGTGGGGCACATCACCCGGCTTGATGGTGAAAACAGAGTGCAGGTAGCCGGCCTTCTCCTTCCCAAGGGGGTCCTTCTTGATGGCCGCAATGAGTGCAGCGTCGATCTTCTTCTGCAGCTGCGCGCGGCTGTCGCTGACGGTGCCCTTCGGTGCGGCCTTGGACGTCTTCTTCGCCTTGCGCTCCGCCGCCTTCTTGGCCTTGTCACCCATGAAGTCGCCCTCCGACTTGACGCGCTTCTCCTGCTTGGGGCGCGCGAACACGTCGGCGGTGATGGCGCTCGTGTCGACGCCCTTCAGGTCTACCTTCGTCGACGTCGCAATGATGTAGCGCGAGTCGATGCGGCGGATCGGCACGCCACTGTACTTCATCGGGCCGGAGATGACAAGCGGACCGTTGCCGGCAAGCTGCTTCAGGATCACAGCGCGGCGGCCACGGAAGCGGCCGGCGAGGATGATGGCGATGGTGCCGGGCGTGCAGCTCTTGCGCAGCGTCGAGTACGCGGCACTCTTGCGGCTGACCTTCTTGGCGACCTTTTTGGTGGACCTCTTGGTGGCCTTCTTGGCGGCAGCGGGCATCGTTGCTTTTCCTGACGAGCTTCGGATCTGCGCAGAGCACAGCAAGCGCGGAGAGGGAGCAGAAGAGACATGAAGCAAACGAAAGGGACAGGAATGGAGTCACCTTATGAACCACAGTGTTAGACACATATAGGCACAAAGGATACGCACTCACATACAGAAAGCCACCAACGATACCAGCATCGCATAGGCGTTGAAACACTAAGCCTTCTCTAAGCACGCCCACCCTCCTCCCCAAAGACTCAAACACACCAAAACTGTCCCGGTATTTCCGCAGGCTGGACACACCATCCACAGACGCACACACATACACACATAAACAGGGGATGGAGGGAAAGGTAAAGAAGTATACTCACCCGAGTCAAGCTCCCACAGTTATGACAACTTTGGCCCCTGACACATCATAACATACGCAAGAAACAGGCACGTGGGAATAGAGGAACCCTCACAAGACGAAAAAAAAGAACAAAAAATCGGACATCGGCTCTCGACTCATGACGGTGTCTCCGCAGTGCTAACCATCAAGCCCCCGCCTTCCACCTAAGTGCTCTCGCTTCGATACCTTATTCACGTTTTTGTTTCTTGTGCTCTCCTTCGGGTAGATCTCATAGCATGCAGAAAAATCCATGAAAATCGCCGTTACCTTTACTTCACTATTGTGGAAGAGACCTTCACTTCCCACTCAAAGCATGAGCATCTGTATCTTTGGCCTCTCGCACTTCCCCCTCCACAAGAGTGCACGGGGCACAGCCGTACTGAAAACTGTCCTGCGTGTGAGTGCTCTCTCGGTGCAGCAAGTGATCACTCTCGTGCTTTGTAAGTGTATCCGACTCCACTACTGTATCAACGTCATTACAGCTGCTCGGCGTTGCCATGTCTTCTGAGGGGGGATTCAAAAGAAAAAACAGGCCCCCCACAAAAAAAAGCGCCCCTGCGAGCGCAAACATGATGATCATGATGTTTGTCGGCAGCATAACTGGGGAAAGAGCAAGTCCAAGGAATCCGCTTATGCTAGATGCCATGAGATAGAGTGCCATCACCGCCCCTTTCATTGACACGGGTGCAACAATATACGTCACCTCCATGATGGTGGTATCGACCAGCGCACTCGCAACGCCTTGCATAGCATACGGGGGCACAAGCCAGCCAGCTGGAAGCATCTTCTCCCCTGGGTACAGATTGTAGTCGTTCTCACTATCGTAAATTCCACGGCTCTCCACACCCAGCTGCACGAAGCCACACCACACCATGGAAACAATCATGATGCACATGCCAGCCAATACACGACCCCGGACCGGTGGGCGACGATCGCCAAACATGAATGGAAACAAGAGTCTGTCAAAGAAAACGAGGGAGATGAGAAGTGCTACGACGTTGATGTTATTAAACACTTCCGGAGGGATGTTTGTAGGAAGGTCCACTGCCGCCGCTTGCAGGATCATGTTTGTGCTGAACTGATTTGTGACAAGCCAATAGACCGGCATGATAACCAAAACGCGGCACACGTCACTGACTTTTTTCGCGTCAGCGATCCAAACAGGGTCAAGTGCGGACATTTTTTCCGCAGCTATGTGCTCCGAGATAGTGACATCCTCTCCCGTCTCGTTGTTGGTGTCATCTAGTGCATTCATCGGGAACCCGTTTTGCTGTTGTGCCCTCTCGTCCTTCTCTGTCGCCTTCCACAAATTCTCCGCCAATTCAGGGTTCTTTGCGGCCACTTCATAGAATCTTTTCTCATCGGCACTTCCCATCGCGGCTGCAGGGTACCCAGCGAAGTCAATTAAATCCCAACGATGCGCACGCAGAAATTCATCATCACAAATAGATCCAATAAAGAAAAGCCACCGAATGCGAATGGCGTGCAACAAAATACGCCCAAGCACAAAAGATGGCACCCTTTCATTCCGCTGGAACCAACGATACGTAATGACAAACAGTAGCAGACCAACAGCGCATGACCCCGCCGATACAGAAAAGCCGATGTAGTAGCCTGTTGTGTACGTGACGGACCCCATAATGGTGTGTCGCTTTTCGACGCCACGCAGGAGCGGTGGCCCAACGATGCCCAAAAGCGCGCCACTATTCGTCACGCAATAAATCCAACGAAACAGTTGTGAGAGTACAACATGGCATCCTGTTTCGCTGTCTTGGTAGACCGCCGATACAATATCAGCCATCAACGGATTGGTGCACACCTTCATGCCTCCATACCCAACGGCAAATAAACTCATGCCCACAGCGAACATGATAACGCTAGAAACAGATGGCTCGAGCGGGAAATCGCCGTACATGAATGGAGCGGATGACAGCGCCACCAGAGAAAGCCCTGCCACGAGTGCCGACATGAACACGACGAGGGCGAAGGGACGACCCCACCGACCGTCTGCCAGTCCGGACGAAACACAGGCTGACGCGGGCGCGATGGCGTATAGGCTGTTGATAAGAGCGTTGCCAGCGGTGGGACTCCAGCGCAGCATAACAGTGCAATACGTCATTAGCATGAATGTGGTACCATAGTACCCCAATCGCTCTGCAAACTCAACGGTCATCACGATCCACACCTGGAAGGGGAATCCGAAGAGTTTCAGTGTGGCCATTTTTCCTTCACTGCCCTAATTGTACAATCGTTAAAATGCACAAGCTTTTTCCTCCCTCTGAGACGTTTTCATGTGTTTCAGATGTTTTTTGCCCGATCCTCGCGAGCCCTACAGCACTCGGCGTTTTCTTTTTTTTTTTTGATTTTGCTTTCCCTTGCAAAGAATACTTTGAAACCACAAAACAAAAACAAAGGGTGAAAGAGGACAAGACAAAAATGGCATTTTATGCGTCTGTGTACCCCTTTATGTCCCGATGCCAACGTCTATTCTCGCCCTATGTGCGCCACACTACAAGCAATCCATACCAGTCACGGTTTTTTTGTTTTTCTTTCTCTTTGAAGGGAGGCCTCTTCTCGTCTTTAATACTCGTGAATTCTTTTGGCTGTCTGTTTCACGCCTTGTCTTCCTTTTTTTTTTTTTCGTTCCGTCTTACTTGAAATTAGTCGGGATAGAGCTCTACAGAGCCTTCTGGGGGTTCCACTCTTGCAGCAGCTCCGAGCTCCTGCAAACAACATGCAGAACAGGCAGAAGTGTCGGCATCCGGTATGATCCCGAGCGAAACACCTCCAGGAGCGGCCACGACGGGTCTACCTCGTAGTACTCCGGCATCTTCACCCCGTCGTCAATCTTAAAGATAACAACAACATCATTAATGTGACGGTAGCGGCCACGGTCGTCCCATGGGAACGGCATCAGCTCCTCGAGAAGCTCCGCCGTGCTCACATCACACGCGACGTCCTGCATAAAATCAGTCTGCTGGTACTCATCGTACATGAAGAGGACAGGCACATGCAGGAGGCTGTCAGTGTCGAAGTACGGCTGGTGTTGTCCGTACACGCCCATCTGCTCGCTGGTCACCTCCGGCGTGGGTGCCACGCGAATACCGCAAGACGTCATGGCGCGCAGCACGTTTGACGTCTCTGCTGCCCGTGCCCTTGTACGAACGCTGTCCTTCTTGTGCTTCGACTGCGCCTTCTCCTTTCCCTCGCGGCACACACGCTCGAGCTCGGCAAATTCCTCCAGTGCACGGTCCTCCGGCGGTGGTTGTGTACGCCGGCCCTTTGACAGTAGGTCCAGTGCGAGGTCGTACTTCTTCACACGTTCCGCACACCGTGCGGCACGGTAGTACGCCTTGCTGTACTCTGGATTAAGAATGATGGCACGCTGCGCATCCTCGAGGCCGTGCCCATAGTTCTGTATGATGAACTGCGCTAGGCTGCGGTTTGCGTACAACTGTGAATTCAAGACAGGGTCACTACACTTGGCGTTGAGCCCCTCTGTGTAGCAGTGGGCGGCCGCACGCGCGAGGTTCTCCTTGTTGACCTGCTCTGGATTGAGAGCGAGCTGTATGGCCTTGTTGCCGTGCTGCTTCCTATTCTCCGCAATATCCTCCGCTGGGACCTCGTCGTATGCGATGCTGGCGAGAGCAGCGCAGTCCGAATTTTTCTGCAGGTCCTCCTCTGTGATGTTCTCCATGAAAAGCGGCATGTTCTCCCAAGCCTTGTCGTCGATTTTGTAGTCGCCGCGCCGATTCCAAATCTCGTCAATTTCAGCCTGGAGGTCATGAATCTGGGTTTGCTGTTCCTCCGTCAGCTCCCTGTCTGATGGCACCAAGCCGCGCAGGTTCATCGACGTAGCAACAACAGCAACTACTAGTACAACTACAACTACTCCACCCCTTTTTGCCCCTGGTGCAACCCTTCAAACCGTAGGGTTAACGTCAATGGTGATGGTGAGGGAGGAAGAAACAACACATATAAATGGCATTACACTTGATGAATGAAAATACAGTGAAAGGGTGATACCGCACTACACCTCCACTCGCATCACGACACAGAATGAGCATCAAACAGATGCATGGCATTGTCGTTGCACGATGTGCATCCTCTCCCACACTGGGAGCTGGAAAAGAGATCAAGGGTCATAACAGTCCAACTCGTCGTTCGCAACCTTTCTTCTTGACTCAGCTCCCCCCTCCGGCTTCTTCACGAGCATCCATATCACGAAGAACAACAACACAAACACCAGACAAAAATGATTAATACCACGTTCGTGGCACGACCGGCTTTGTGCGCTGCATGTAGTCCTTCCAACGGGGGACATTCACCGGTTTCAGGAACTTTGCATCAGGATCCTTCGGATAATCCACCACGCGGATGTAGGGAGCGAACGGCAGGAAGAATGTTTGCTGGGGCTCCTTCCAGATGTTTTCCTTCGTCACAGGCGGCAGCGCCTCACGCTTAGCTTTCGTCACCTCTGGATCCTCTACAAAGGCGTATTGATGCACGAACTCGTGATCGGCGTTGACCCACCAGCGGTTGTACCTGTAAGGCACCTCTTGCTGAGTCTTGGCCTTGTTTCGGAGTCCCTGCTGGCGGATGTAGCGTTGCAGCGCCAACCGTCGTGGGAGGTGGACACGGTGATAGTGCTCCTTGAAGCTGTCTGCCGCGATAGTGCTACGCCGAAGCATAGTTGCTCTTGTTACGGCTCTTTTTGCCTCTATATAATCCTACAGGAGACGCCACCACACACGTCCCACTACAATTCCCTTCCCCAAGCAGGTACCGCGGCACCACAACCCAAAGAGCCGGAAAAAAAAAGTACATGGAGAGATAGTAGTAAGTGTCTGCTGGTGTTGACCATAAAGTACGATGGAAAAGAGCACGGGCGCAAAAGCGCAGGAAGCGATGCACCTCAGCCCTGTGGTCATCACTCGCCATTACCGCTCTGATGAACTGTGTATCCACGTTTTCTCGATTCATTCTTCCTTGATCGGGGTTTGATCAGTAGTATCACTGTCCCCCCTTGTTTTTTATTGTCGTCGTCTCAGTCACAGTCACATTCGACATTCTTTGCTTTCCCTAAATGCATGCCAGATGCTTAATGGGTGAATCCCTGTCCATTGAGTCTCTCTTTTAAATTACATTACGCTTTGCTTTGTTGTCACGATCGCTTGCAGTTGAAGCGCGAAAAACCACATCCGTAGTCACAGACGTACAAGATCTCAGTTGTGTCATACGCTTGTAACACGTACAACACGAATTTCTAGATTTTACAGAAAGACACGTACAGAGTCGTACGCAGACGCACAGCAGCCCATTTTTCACATTCTTGGTGGTTCCATTCTTGTCTCTCGCTGCTTTCGTCGCGTATGCCGAAATTCCCCCCATCCCCCATTTTGGGGGGTTCACCGCCTTCATCTTCGCTCGGACACAAATTGCGCTTCCTCTCTCAGCCTTCGTTACGCCTCACCCTAGTGAACCCATCAAGTAGAAACACAAAAATACAAAAAAAACTCACAAAAAAAAAAAGAATTAAAGCGTGCGGGGGTTCGCTCGCTCGTTCATTCGTCTAAACATTTCTTCACGTACTTTTCTTTTNTTTTTTTTTTCATTTCGTTTTCTTTCATACTATGCTCCTTCGTCTTGACTCTTCTCGTGTGGGTCTCCACCTCCTTCGTCATTGCTTTGTCCTTGTGCGTGTCGTACCGTTGCCCCCTCACCGTCATCATTACTTTTCGTGTCTCTCCCTCTCGACCTCACCTAGAGGGGCACTGCTCTGTTTTGGTATTTTTTTTTGTTTCGGTTCCACTTTTTCTTCCCTTCGCGCCACACGACTCGGTGTGTCGTTGCCTCATCACGCCACATGTGAGTGGCAGGAGGATGGGCGAAGCGAAACAAGACGGCGGGTGGGGGATAAACATGCACACACACACAGGTATATATATATATGGTAGGGGGAGAGAGGAAATATATACGCAATCAAATCTATCAGACATATATATATATATATATATATATCACCTCATCACTCGTGGCAGTGAGTGTGTAGGTATCGTCTTAAGAAAACTATTAATTGATCAACAGAAGAAGCTAGTAAATCCCCGGAATGAACTTATACGGAACCAGCTCTATATAACGGTCCCACAGCTCGCCGTATTTCCTTCTGCAGCGATATTCATCACGCGCCTCACGATCCACAAGGTGCGAAAAGAAGAAGCATACATAGAAGAACGGAATAAAGGAATCAAAACCACACGACACGCCCCACAATGTTGCCATGATAATATCGGCAGTGTAATGAAGTTTGCGTGCGTAGCGGTACCACCCGTCCACGAAAAGTTCTCCTCTTTCACTCTTCACCACACGTGGGTTCTCAATATAGCCCCACGGAAGTTGCGGGAACGACTTGCGACGGAGAATGCTTTGGGGAGTGCCATTGCGTTTCATGCGGAAGCGGTTCTTCTGTGAGTTGGCATTGTCCCATATGTAGTAAGCCACAATGAGCACAGCGTACATCAGCGCCAACTGCCACGGTTTGTGTTCGCGATCCTTCAGAACCGTCTGAATGTAAAAACCCTGCAAAGAGTACAGAAAGGGTACACCACATGTGTTCCAGTACGCCAGCATCCACCCGAACTTCTCATAGAACAAGTCCCAGGTAGTAATGACGCACTCCTCACCCTTTTGAATGGCATTTACATACAGTGACTGTGCCACAACAATGAACCACATGTTGCCGGTAACGTAGCCAATCTCGTGTTGCATGGCGGCAGCATTACTCAGTGTGAGAATCATCAATAGTACCCATGAATTGCGGCACTCGGCAAACAGCTTAACGTCTACGCCTCCAGGTAGGCGATAGTTAAGAGCGGATCCCATAAAGAAGTCGTAGATAATGTTATGTGACATACGAATCTGCTTGCGAAGACCGACAACGTACACACCCAGTGAGATAGCATCCGCCCATATGGTCGCGACAGTCAAGTAACGGCCGAAGTCCGCGCGCAACTTCCACAGAGGAAAGATCTCTGTGTAATGAAACACACCGACGATGAGCAGCATGCAATACCAGGCTTGTACCGCGTTGCACTTGTACAATTGGCGGTAGCCGTTCTCACTCGGGATGGGAAGCCCTTTCACTTCGACGCTGGGAAGAACCACGGCTAGTGTATACTCCACCAGTAAGAAGGCGGTGAACATTCCAAACGTACCCCACGTTGGTGCTGCGTGGGCGCGCAGGTAATTTCCAAACACGGTAATCATTGATTCGCCCTGCAGCAGTGGATGGCCGGGGTAAATCAGTGTACCCTGAAAATTTTCAATACACACCCAGAAGTAGTATATGAGAACGTGCGATGCCAACATGATACCAAGGGCACCCATCCAACCGCAGAACTCGTAATGGCCATCCCATGTATCCTTCTCAGGTGTGAACTTGCGCTCCACCGTGAGGTTGTATAACTCCTCTGGGGCTAAGCGCTTTGCCTGCCGCGAGCCGTTGTCGGGAGTTTTTGACCGCGAGCGCGATGACGCCCGACGGGATTTGGTAGTCATGTGACGATTGACAACGCACTGGTAATAAAGTCTAAGTGTATCTCTTTATGTAGATAAGAATGAAATTATAGAATGATTCTGTAAAATTTTTTGTTTTTATTTCAACCCGTAGAAAGACAGAAATATTGCTTTATTATTATTATTATTATTATTATCATTCAAATACAATGGTATGTCAAACGAAAAAAAAGGGGGGTGGATGAAGCACCACATGCTTCAATTCCTGTGGTCCTTGCATCGGTACCGTCACAAAAGCGCAAGAGAAGAAAAAGAAACGTAATTGGCCGAAATGATGAAGAGAGGCACATTGCCACTTGCCTCCTCACCCCATCAGACGACGCCACGCCGTAGTTTTAACAGCCAACATTGGTGTACACCAGCTGAAAAAGAGCCGGCCCACATGACGCCAACATGCAGCAGTCACCCTTTGTAGAGGTGAAGGGTTGGGAAAGCTGCGTCACTGTGGCACCAGCTTCTGCATCTAGTTCTTCAGCAGCAGGGAAACTTACATCACCCATCGCTAATGAGTGCAACGGTCCGCGCAGATTGTTTTTTGCGTCTTGAAGCACCGGCAACTGCAGTACCTTGGCACCGCTACCCTGTGGAGTGACAACACTTTTGCCGTTGAGAGCGCCATCATCTTTCATGGTGTCGAGAATGTACAACGTTCGAGTGTAGCCGCCAGTGCACACCTCGCGGCCATTCAAAAACCGCACATTAAACGTATCAAGAAGCTCATTTTGGTAATACTGTTCAACGTTCGGCCGCAGATGGGGGTACAATTCCCACCGACGCACCACATTATGTTCTTGTTCGTGGTTGAATGGAGTTGGTGACGTCCGCGGATTACGGTCATGCAGTGTAGCGCGACGAATGTCCCACAGGCACACACTTACCACGTCACGGCCAGCCACATACCGACCGCAGGGACTCAGAGCGCAGTCTGTAAGACTACTGGTGAACATGACATCTTCGTTGCAAACCATGTTCCTGAAAACCAACGGTGCCTGGTGAAACCATTTGAGAGTTTGGCGGGTGTCAACCACGCGAATGGAACCGGAGCTTGTCAAGACAAAGAGCAGAAAAGGTTCATGGGGGAAACTGCGAATGCTGCAAATCACCTCTTGTGGTTCCTCGTCAAAAGGCGGCCTAAGGCTATACGTCTCGATAGAGGTGTCAGGGTATTCCACACACCACAGCTTCACCGTGAGGTCATCCGCAGAAAAAAACTGCGCGCTATCGGCCAAAGGGCACAAAGAGTTGATGTTGTACTCGTGGTTCAGCGCGTAGCGAGATACCTGCTTCATCGCGACTGTCGTCGAACCACGGAGGGGATTTAAAGTCAATGAGCCCGAACACTTTTCCCCGAGACGATCCACGGCCAAGAATGGCGTAGGAGATTCCCGCACCTGTATCACCTTGTACAATTTAGGCATTTTCTCATTTGCAGTGAGCAGATACGTCGTTGGCCCAACCTGTGGCAAAAAGGATAGAGCCTGGACACTAGGCGTCACCTCCACACTATTCAACGGGTCAATAACGGAGGTGTACGCCTGACGTCCCACAACAAATTCATAGGGCTCACGCAAAAGTGATGTGGATCCTTTTGCTTCATAATTCACGCCCCTTCCATTACCAACTCCCCTGTCTCCACCGTCCTTATCTGTTTGTTGCTGTTTTCGGTGCATCACAAAAACACGACCGGAACGATCCCCAAGGGCAACATATTCCCCTGAACTACTTGTCGCAAGGGCTGATATCGTCAAAGCTGAAGCCCCACATCCACCTCGATGAGATTCAGGTATGCTTCGCCATGGTTTCCCCGACACATACGCCTCGAACAGCGCCAGTTGTTTGCCAACTGACGCAGAGCCAATCGCTGTGCGATGTGCCGAGGCTGCCGCCCTTCCACCGTCTCCGTCGCCGCAGGGAGCCGCAGCGTGCACACGCAACGAGGATGCAGAACTGCTCCGTGCCTGCTGGTGGTCCAACAGCGTTACCTTGGGCGGTGAGCGGCGCAGTTTGCGCCCATGAAGCTCCAGCTCAGGCTCCGCGGACGGCAGCGTTGGCACCCCTAGCGTGCGCGAGAACCCCTCTAACGAGCTACCGCGTGTCTGCGGCGCCGGAGGAACTTCTGTTAATGTCTGAGCGGTGCGCTGCTCGGATGCACGCACGTGGTGCGGCTCTGCTGCATAGGTGGAGCGGTGCGACGCCGCTGTTGTTGTTTCTGCTGCAGCAGGCGCCCCTTCTTCATGGGTACTGCTAACCATGCTCAAACTCCGCGAGTGCGAAGGGCGCGGCGAAAAGCAGCCTGGCGCACCCTCTTCAACGCGGCGATCCGGCAACTTTTTCCGCCGGCCGAGAGTTGTGTCTAAACTCAGATTGGGCAGCATATACTTCTTTTGAGGTAAGTGTCAAATTCCCTCCTTGCTCGTGTACGTGTGCGTATGACGCCTTTCAGTAAAGAGTCTGTTGTCAATATACCCCGACCTGCGTGCTGAATGGTATGCTCACCCAATAGCGATGCTATCTTTGTTGTTGTTGTTGTTTTCCAGTCGAGATATAAAAACGCCAAAAAAAGAACAACATGATAAACAAAAGAAAACATGGTTAGTTCCGTTTTACTCCACTGCACCGGTCTTTTGAATTCCTGTCACAAGACGTATATTCGCGTCAGCCATGGTGCAAGCTCAATAATTTATCTTGTTGTCGCCAACACCACCACCACCACCACCACAACCACAACCACAGCCACAACAACAACAACAATAGTACACACACGCAGACGCAGTCAAAGATGCAGACGATCAAAGAGTTCATACTTCTTTCTAAAGCCCTCACGACACTCAACTACGCATATCCTTTGCATTCTTTACCACATCCTCATACGAGTACTCAAACTTCTTGCGGAATGATAAATCCTGAAAATCGTAGCGCTGTCTATCGCCCTTATTGTACATCCTATGGCTAACCCATCCCAGAGGACACTGCACACGTCGTGCTTGGAGATCTCTCCACCAGTAGGCATCCTTGTATTCTGGAGGAACGGGGATGTGATAATACACCTGATCAGGTACCAGGTGCGCGCGTTCGTCCCAGTGCGGATCGTAGCGCTCTTCCCATGTCTCGGGGTCGATACTGCGGCTGGCGTGGACAAGTTTTCGCGGGTCATACATGGGCAGTGGATCCCAGTTGTAGCGGTGAATGGCCTTCTTCTGAAGCAGGTGCTTAAGCTGGTGCGAGAACATACCCTGTCCCTGCTTGAAGATAACAGGGTTCTTACGCTGAACACTGGTTATGCGGAGCATGATGAGAATAGCTTCGATGAATGCGTGTTTGTCTTGTATTTTGTTAGATACCCTTTACCTACCAAAGGGGATAAACGGAGAGATTTTGTGTGAATGTGTGTGTCTTGCTCGATATATCCCTTCCTCCGAGTGTGTATGTTTCTGGTGGTAGTGTGACTCTTCACCGATGTGTCCCAGACCAGCCCAGAATGCCTTTGACACGTCCTAATCTATTGTGAAGCAGTAGAAGAAAAGGTGGCGAGACGCACGGGAAGGTGAAGAAGGAGAAGGTGGCACAGCGTTTTTTTTCACCCACATCGATACACGTGACGTCCCCCGCCTTCATTGTCGCACGAGTTGTCTTTTTTTTTTGTTGTTGTTTCCGAGGGGGCGGGAGGCGAATGAGAAGTAGCAGTGGGAAGAAAAAGTGGCGAGAATAGCACAAGCCAAGGGAATCCAGGCTCGTTCTACTTTGTATGTTTTATTTTATTCCCACACCCTTCTGTCGGTGTGTGCGTGTCATTGTATGCGTTTCTATTCAAACTAGTCTCTTAAAACGTGTTGTTATTTTTAGCCTTGTTTCACACACACCTCACATATTCTCTCTCTCTCTCTCTCTCTCTCTTTCTCTCCGTCTCCCCTGCTCCCTCATGTATGTGGAGAGAAAGAGAGTGATAGTAGCAACAAGACACAAAAATCATCCATCACATCCAATCCGTTTGTTACTGTTTTCTATGCATTTATGTTTTCCTTTTTTTGTCCTTTCGATTGTGCGTGAGCACAGTTGGTCCCTTTTATCCCCTCACACTTCAAGACCAGTCTTTTTCATATCTATGTCGCCCGCCCCCCACCCCCCGAGTCCTCTATCGCCCGCGCTGTACGGCTTCTTCCGCCCGAGCTGCACGTGCAGATTGCAGCAAGGGCAGAATCTTGTGCCTATGAAAACACACACACACAGGCATAAGGGTATTCTCCACCATCCTTCTCACTCTCCCAAAAATCTCACCCATGAACGGTGCACGTCTATGATTTCGCGTGATCCGCAAAGGCAGAGACGACGGTCTTGTGCCGATACTACAAAACTCACGGGCTGGAATGATCAACAACACTACTACCTTGTTCCAGCAATATGTTGTCTTTGTTTTCCCTTTGGATTGCCAAATAAATCGAAGAAACATGAAGCAAGCGGATCTGTTCTCCCATTTTTTCTTTTTACCGACGAGACTTCTTCGACTTGGCATTCTTCTGCCCCTTCCGCCCAGGTGTAGAAATTCGGTGAGAAGCTTGCTGCTGATGATCTTTGGCGTGTTGCTGGAAGCGGAGCACTTCTGCACCGGCGCGACGGGCGTGGCTCGATACGGGCCGGTTGGATAACGGCGCGAGCACCACCGGTTTGCGGGGCGGCTTCACTGCAGCAACGTGCGTGGACGCCGCAGTCTCAGACGGTGTCTTGCTAGACACGTGGTGCTCCATTCGCCGCTTAACCTTATCGCGCATCTCGAGCAGCAGCTGGAGTTTTTTTTGCAGTTCAACAAGGGATGCCGTGGTCGTTTCACTATCATCTCCGTCGCCGTGTAAGGCGATACTCTCTTCAAGATGCTTGATTTCCTTCAGCATTTTCTCCATTTGTGTTGTCAGTTGTCGCAGCTCGCTCTGCCCACCGCACAGCTCCTCATCAAGACTGTCACCAACATAGCTCTCACCGTTTTTCTCGTCCTCATTGCATTCTCCAGCAGAGACATGAGCGTCGGCCTCACCAGCCTCGAGGTCTTCGGTGGCCTCCTTGGCGTGCGCGTCTACGGCCACGCTCTCGCCAGTCAGCTCCTCCTCATCATCGAAGTTTGCCTCTGTCTCGTTCGCCGCTGCCGCTGCTGCGGACATCTCTTCTGCACTCGCGTCATTTTCATCCTGTGCCAGCGCCTCCGCGACACTTATCGACGGCGGCACATGGAGACCGCCGGCATCCGCGTGCTGTCCCGATCGGCGGAGGCGGTCTTGCTCGACACGCAGGCGGTTGATCTCACGTCTGCTGTTGATGATGCCCTGCTCGAGCTTCGTTATCACAGATCTCTCCGTCGCATGCCGCAGTCGCTTCTCCATAAGATCAACCTGGAAGCGGATGGCGCTGATTTGCTCCTGCAAATCATTTGGCCGCTCACCGCACTGTTTAGCTTGTCGCTCACGCTCCCTTTTAAGCTCTCGATCGCGCTCCGTCGTCCATGACTCGTTCCGCTGTACGGCACGAATGAAGTCCTCAAGCTCCTCAAGCTCCGCCCGCGAGACTGCTAGAACAGCCATCAAAGTCATATCATCTTCGTCTCCCTCGCTTTCCATCTGACGCTCCAGCTCCGCAATTTCTTTGCGCAGCCGCTCTGCACCCAGGCAGAGACCATCGTACTGTTCAGGTGTGCAGCTTGGCTCAAGTGAAGGGGAGGGCAATGGTGACGGATGTGCACACGATGCATCGCGATCCATTAGCTCCTCCTTATTGTTTGTGAGCTCATTTACTGGAAGGGTATTCGTGGGCTGCACCGACGGTGTATCACTAACCTCCTTACCCCAGATCCTCGACTTAGCCTCCTGCAACTTACGCTCCAGCTCCACCTCTTCTTCGAGAGCAGCCTGCTCAGCCTGCTTCTGCCGCTCCAACGTGATCTCGGCTTCCCGCTGCGCCTGACGCGCTTCCTCGCGCTGCTTGTTAAGGAGCTGCATGCGCTCTTCGTGCTTGCGCAACAGCTCCTGCTCTAGCGCCCGAGCCCGCGCCTCGGCTTGCTCCCGCTTCGCCTTCTTTTCGGCTTTCAGCCTCTCTTGCATCTCAAGACGCCGGCGCTCCTCTTCTGCCTCTGCCTCTGCCTCTGCCTCTGCCTCTGCCTTTGCCTTTGCCTTTGCTTTTGCCTCAACTTCTGCTTTCGTCTCCTTCGCTCCACGGTGAGAGACCGACTTTATTGCTGACTCAATCGTGAGCAGTGTACTGAGCGCCTCCTCCATTTTCTTTAGCAGGGATTCCTCCTCACGGCGACGCTTCTCCTGCAGCGACTCGATCTCCCGCCGCAGCATCGTTGCCGCCGAAGATAACGATGCGATGTCTTCTGCTGGTGCGGCAGAACCGGGCTGCACGCAAGGATCCGTTTCATCCTTGCCCTTCTTTGCCACACCAGCAACGTTCTTCGTCACCATAATGTCATCTTCGACGGCGTCACAGTTTTTTGTTGACTTTCGTGTCAACTCATCAAGTTGCGTAGAAGGGACTGGCGTCCAGGCGCCGTCCTGGCCCTCCATCCCCCTTTGATTCCTCTCGGCCTCAGATTCCAGCGCTGCGACGTTTGTATTTTCCACCTCATCCTTTTCATGCTTCTCTGCACCGAGTGGGGGAGCGTACAGTTTCTCTGGCGGTGCATCCTTCTCCATGTGACGAAGTTGCCGCATCTTCTCGAGGCGCTCTCGCAGACGCGGCAGCTCCTTTTGTGCAATTCCGAGCTTCTCCTGAAGCTCACTAGCATGATCAATGCTGTCAGTGCTCAACAGTCGACGACGTATTTGGGAAGCTTCCACCTTCTTTTTATGGTATGCATTAGCCAGAGCCTCATAGGCTTCTGGGGTATAGTTTTGGCGGTTCTCATCAAATGGTTTGCCTTCCACTCTTGTAGAGACGTGCGGAGCATCCCCAGAAATTACACCACTCTTCTGTTTTCCAAGCGAAAACTCCTTAACGGAGCGTCCAGAGGGATGGCTGGCCTGACGCAAAGCCGGGACTGCGTCGATACCGTGCTGCAGTTTCGTTTCTTCGTCACCGTCCACGTTCGCCGCTTCGCGCCTAATGCGCTCAAAAGTCCCTTCAACGCTATCCTTCTCAAACGTTCGCGTCTTTTTTGTCTTTGCCGGGGTTGACAACGCCGGCGTTCCCATGAGCCGAATCGTCTCCGTTACGGAAAGCTCCGTGTTTTCTGTCATTTTGCGGCGTATAAGTAGCTTGGAAACAGGGATAGGCCGCTGTTCTGCAACCGACACGGGATCCTCTATTGGTATGGCTTTTGGCTTTTCGTCTCCCCCACTGAGTTCCAGCTCAGCCAACTCTATGAAATCTCGAAACTTTGAGAAGTACAGAAGGCAATCGCGGTCCGACATTATCTCCTGGTTCCACCCAAATCGCATCATGACTATCTTTACAGGCTCCCATGAGAGGTGAATGCTCTCGTAGCGTCGGCGAAGGAAGTCTTCCGCCGACCAATCCAGGACGACATCTGTGTCAGCAGAGCGATAGATATGAAGACGGCGACACGCCTTTACATCTGACAGGGAGCGCCGCAGTAGGTTGGGGTAAAGAAACGGCGCCACCAGGCTCAGCTGGCGAACAGTAAATGGGTAATCCGCGAGCTGAAGCAATGGCCGAAGGCACAGATTAGCAGCATCCAGGTTGTAACGACCAGCGGCTTTGATCTGCTGTCGCTGACGTACGGCATTTTTCTCCATGCGAAGAAGAAGGTCAGTAAAGAAAGGGTGGTTCCGTACATCCTTGAACTCATCATTCACGGCACCTGGTTTGGTCCCAACTTCTTCCTCTGTATCACTGTTAGCTTCTACCACATTCCTACTGTTTTCATCTTCGTCTGCTTCGCCATTCATTTCGTGCAATGCTTGCTTTGGCTTCTCAGAAGCGTCACTCTTGATGTTACTGATTCGTCCACCCACTCTACGCGCAGCCTCCATCTCGCCGCTATCGTAGATCCTGGTCACATCATCCTCTGTGTCCACATCCTTTCTCACCCTCACAGCATCCCGACGGAACGAGTTTGCAGACATTACAGGCTCACTTTTTATTGCTTGTGCCTGAACCTCGCTTTCCATCTCGTTGCTATCGTAGATCTTGGTCACATCATCTTCCGCACCCATATCATCCCTCACTTCACTGAGGGCCCGACCGGCGAATGAGCTTGTGAAACTGACGGACTCGCGCTTTGGACGAAGGTAAACATCATATCTTCTTTTCATGTTGGGAGGTGCACGTACCAACTCCTCTTCTTCATTTAGCACAGAATGCTCTTCACCAGAAGCAGCCTTCACATTGTCAAACTCGTGTTCTTGGGCATCTGGGAAAAGAATCTGTGATTTTTTCTTCACAACAGACAATGGCTTCCGCGCGGCACTGTTCGACGGGTCTTGAGGTTCCTCAGCACTTACTGGACGACCACCCGCCTCACCATCAGACCCGGTGTTGCCGAGCATGCGCCCTCTGCTGAGACGATGTGTCCCGCCAGCAACATAGAACTTTGCCCCACCGCCTGACATGCAGGCCGGATGCAATGCTTTGGTCTGAAGCACACGGCGCATCATGACTACACGCCTTCTCCTTCACGGCCTAGAGTGTAGAAAAGTCTATTTCTTATTGCTTCTTTGCTTCCTTAAAGAACCGCCTGCTGTGCAGTTTCCCTCCTGGACAGCTTCTAAATAGAAGATTAAGAATAAGAAAGGGCGAAGGAAGAGAAGAAGAAATAGACCCGGGCCATGAGTATGAAAGTGGCTTTGTATAATCTTCTAGCAGGAAGGACGTGTGACACCCGTCCACAGGATCAGGAAGCCGATCCGCACAGCTACAGGGTGGTATTGGGGAAGAGAAGGTGATGATGGTGGCAGTGGGCGTGTGACGGTGGAGGTGGAGGTGGAGGTGGAGGTGGAGGAGAAATCAAACCGGAGCACGATGACTGCAAATGCCTTACATCTCACCCACCACCACCCCACAAACAGACGCACCCACAAAATACTACTCAGTCGCAAGCACATCAGCAAAATCCTCGTAGTATATGCGCCCACTTTCTGGATCAGCGGCAGCAACAATAAACTCTTCCACTTCTTCTTCTGTAAATGGCTCCGCCCCACCACGTAAAAAATGGCGCATTTCTTCCGCCTCTAAGTATCCCCGTTTTGTCAGATCCAAGAGACGAAAAGCTCGGTAGATGGTATCCTCATCATCGCGCCGCACAGAGATTGGTGGATGGACTTGTGAAGGGGCCACAAAATTCTTTTTGTCTTTAGGAGGGGGAGAAACCGCCAACGAACCTGGAACAGCAAGCACCCCTGTCATCAGAGCCTCCACAATCATTTCTCTCAACAGACCCGCAGATACATAGCCCCGAGATGCCACATCTTTGTCCTCAATCATCTCCACCATGCGCAGCACTTCCCCATTCGACACATTGAGACCCATCGCGCGGGCAATGAACCCGACAGAGAGCGTCGAAACGTCATCAGATCCATGCGCACTAGGGAGATGAGCGGGACGATTGGACTGTTGATTCACTTGTAGAATTTCATCAAAGCGTTTCATGTGTTTCTGTCGGCGAGCCTTATCTTGTACCGTGACCAGCAGCTGCTTTCCTCCAATAGTTACATTTTCATCCTCGGCACCACCATTCTTGGTATCCTTCTTGTGCTTGGGCATGGCACCTCTGTTCCTTGTACCTTATTATTCTCATTCAACGAGAAGGCCATTTTTTGTTTTAAAAAAGGGAGAAAATGCGAGACAAAAACATCACTACCATTATTCTGTAACCCGACCACGAAGACTCACTTTATGAGTGGTTGCCAAGAACTGTTGGCCGCACTCTAAAAAGGCATACACCCCGTATATGTTGCAGGATTGAGGGATCATAAAATATACACAGCAAGAGCGATAACAAAACGCACTAATTCAGAAGAAACATTTTGGTGAGAAGCTTTTTCATTCGAGACTCGGGAGTGGGAAACTTTCTTGCCATGAGTGTGTCACCGTAAATCCTTTCGGCCAGGTGATACAATGCAAGAACAAAAGTCCCCACTGAAAGTGTTTCTTCCAATGCATCTGGGTGTTTCTCCTTCTCTAAAGTACTGCAAGAAAGAAAAATCTGTCGCAGGAGAGGCTTGCGAATAAGCGGAAGTAATTCATAACGGCGGGCAACTTCAACAAAACCATCCAAGTTCATAACGGTACTATGATACCCTTGTGTGGTCCTAATGGCTAGAGTAAAACAATCCTTGATGTATCCCAAAAAATTCTGGACAACTGCCTTTACCGCATCCGATTTGTATTCCGTGATAGTGGTTGCCTCTCCTAAGGTGATTAGATCAGCAGCGCCATCGTCTTGGTTGCCCCCCAACTCAGAAACAAAACTTTGTGACCCATGTTTTTCCCCCATAATGGCATCAACATAAGGAAATATGTGGTACAACAAAAAGGTAAGAAGAGTTTCTTCCGGTTTTTCGTCTAAAGGAAAGGTATGTGCTTCACCATTAAGTGTACCACCCTCTGAAATCTGTCGTTGACGATGTTTCACCTTCGAAAGAATATAGAGAGACTCACCAAACAAATGCTTCGGAATAGTCTCAAGGCGTTGATAAGCAAACAAATTTTTCTTCTCTCTTGTAGAAGTGTTGTTACCTAACGTGATGTCTCGGTTTTTAGCTGACCCCTTGGCCTGGGTTAGTCGTTTGTTCTGCTTAACGTTAAGCGAGCGCATCACTGCCATCCACAGCAGCTCTGCAGAGGTTCCTTGGGAAAGCCCGCACAACTGACAGTCTTTCACGAAACGAGAAAAATGTGTCATTGTCATTGTGGGATGAAATACATCAATCGACGATGTTGTGTAAAAGCCATAGATAGCATCCATACGATTCTTGTATTTTTGTAGTACACCTTCAACACTTTTAGTCCTTTCATCTTCATCATCGCCTTCATCGTAAGCTGATGTTGTATTTTTGTCCACATAAGAAACTGATTCTTTCGGAGGGGAGTATTCCGGAATAGATGGTGGAGTAACCGAGTCAACAGGAAGCGTCACAACTGCTGGGCCCATATAACCATTAGAGCGGGCCAAATGTAAACAGAAGTCGGATAGTTGTTGAATGCGTTCCTCCAATTTATCAATCCTCTCCTGATAGAGCCGATCCTGATACATCACCACTTTCTTGACTTCCGCCACTTCTTGTTCCATGCCTTTCCGGAGATCCAACACTTCTGTGGTAATGAGCTGCTTGAGAAGCTCTACCTGTTGACCTATCTGTTTGGCCTGCTGTTCAACGTGGTAAAGCCGTGCTTCTACAGACATTTTTTTAAGATTCTCAGCTTACTTAAAGGTATAAAAATCAAATAGAAAAGAGAAATATATATATGACTCTTGTCGATATGCTTAGTCAGAAGGGATATCATTTTTTCCCGCATTTTTTTTTATTACTGTGGGCCACTTCAAATAGATCAACTCTAGTCTCAGCACATACCATACAACTTTTTTTGTTTTCTCTTTTTTTTTTTGTTTAGTCTCTATTCTCTACATCGTCTCAATGAACGCGAGGAGGACACGATGTAGACGCCTAAATATAGGAAATACAGTCAAATACAACTACATAGACTCCATATCTTCCCAGTCGTCTAATCCCAGCCCATGACCCGATCTCTCACGTTTTGCCTTGGTTTGCTTCATCACGTAGTGTAGAACTGTATGCTGCAAAACACCAATTCTCAGTGACATCTGCTTAATCTCTGCTCTTACCTTCATCACGGCATCTTTCACCTGCATCAATGGTGTAGTGTCGGATATTTTTGCTTCTCGATCCTCTATATCCCTCTTCACTTGGTCTAGCAACCCTGTTACCTGATTCAGCTCTGCCAAAAGTTGTTGCACACTTTGATTCGCAACGTTTGCGGCATCCTGAGAGGTATTAAGCTCACGAAGCTTCACCCTGTAATCTTCCACTTGATCCGAAAACTGCTGAGCAAGTGTCTGTTCACGTTTTTGGATGCGATCTTTGGATTTTTCCAAGTCATCGCCCAGGCGCTGAAGCATTTGCCTTACCTCAGGATACATTTTCTCAACAGCCTTTAGCAAAACTGTTGCACTCTCAATTCGAGTACGCCAGTCTTGAATACCCTCAGATCTCACCTGAAGCAGAGGTCCTACACGTTCCACCTCCAAGTTCCATTCTTCAGCATTTATTCCAGACTCCACCGGAATTCCTGTTTCTTCTTTGGCTGACTTATCTCCTGTGGCACGAACGTAAACTTCATCCTCGTCATCACTTTCTATCATCACGTTATCTTCTACTTCCTCTCCTATACCAGTGTCATCATCACCATCAGTTACTCCATCTAGCTCATCATACTTTTCAACATTGCTGTAGTCAATAGCACGGACGCTGAATCCCTTCTTCAAAAGAGAATGATCTGCGAGAACTGAGAGAATCGTTAAAACTGCCTCACCACTTCCTTGACGTATTCGATTCGGAGCCAGGTTCGGTGCTGATATATTCATTGCCCGCAGCTCAGACAAAATATTTGTTGATGTTGCGTTAGGATCATCAAATTGACCAGGCGGTTCAAAGTTGTGACCAGAGAGACCCATTAGCCATGAGCACAAGGACGTAAAGTAGTAAAACTGAGCGTTCGGATTGTCAATTGTTGAAGGTCCTGAAAAATAGTACTTGCTCAACGGTTTGAAAGGAGGCTTGACAAGGGGACAAAACGCTGTTTCGTATCGCAAAAGCTTCAACTTTTCAATGAGATCCTCCATAGTCCCGTCATCGACCGAAATTTCGCCTCCAATCACGCTGAGACCTGTTGGCTGCTGCGGCTGTGCTTCTTCCTGTGCCATATTCTCTGTTTTGTTGTTGCTCTGATGCCTGCAAAAAGAAGGAAAAAACAATAATAAATGCAAAGCAAAGGCAAAAAAGGACAACAACACCAATACCAGACGAGTGTGGATCTGACTCCACAGAAGCCACACTCCTGTGCGCCTTTTTTGTTCTTATTAGAATAATGATGATGGGAGAAAAAAAAATGATCTTCTGCGGATACATTGAGCCGTCCTTCTATACATCAGCAAAGGGAACGGAAGGGGGGTCTAAAGTTCATCGCCGGAAAATTTGTTAAGAAACAGCACATGTGTTTCAGTGTAATCTTTTGGACCAGATCCGATAGATTGCTTCAAGGCAACTGAAGAAACGAGTTTCCAAACGCCCTCCTCTTCAAGAGCATCCAACAAAAGAACCATAAGATAGGACATCGCCTCATCGTCGCAAAATTGTCGGTCAAGTTTTATGTACCAATGATTTGGGTTCGAAAGATACTGAAACCTCGGTGGTGCAACTCTTGTGCTTCGGGATGATGTTGTTGAATTGGGAATTACTTCATTCAGCTTGTCGATTGTCTGCTCTTTAATAGGGCCAATAATCTTAATTTCAGGGCAGTTGAAAGTGCAGTTAATGACAAGGTTATGTACCATTGCAATTCTCCTTTTCTTTCGCTTCCCTTAGTAAACTCCTGGAAATGTAAAAATTGGAGGAGGGGAAGGAGGAGGAAATAGCAAAACATACACAGGTTAAGGCCATCAAGAAAACATCTCCGCTAAACCCCCAAATATTCGGCGTTATAAGCAACAAACACAGTCTCACACGCTAGGTAAAAAAAAGAAGAGCAGTCTTCCAGCTTCCAAGAGAAGACCGAGCAGACTCAAGAATCACCTTCTCTCTTTCATTAACAGCCTCCGTAGTGACCAGTTTTTTTAGCAATTCCAACGACGCTTTCCAATTCCCCCTGCTCAACAATGCACTCGCAGCTTGATCAATATCGGTCACAGTTTCCACCTTTCCCTTAGAAAGAGGAAAAAGTAATGCCTCACAAAACCCCGGACCGTAATCTCTTGTACGCTCCAAAAGGCTTGTCACATCTAATGCATCCGTACTCATGGCATTCCGTATCAAAAACTGTCTTATATTATCTCTCGTTTTCTTGCAATACAAACGCGAAGCACATCTTGACACCACAGCAGCAAACCTATGCAGAAGTTCGGCATACTTCCCCTCCTCATACTCCCTGATAAACTGTTTACAGAAATCCTCCAGTGTCAGAGTCGGAACCTCATCGAGACCTTGTTTACTCAGTGTTTCCAAAATACTTACAACATCTTCAAAACGGTGTAAAACAACAGCAGAACGCAAAGCGACTCGCTGAAACGAAGCTGATTGCTGAAAGTATTCACTTTGTTGAATCCAATCAATGGTATCCTCAAATCTTTCACCATGGTAAGCAGACTTCGCGGCCGCCACACTTAAGATTTCCCTCTTGGTATGCAAGGAAAAGCTGCGTTCGCTAAGTTTCAATAGCAAGTCAATGGCCTCTTGCCACTGAGACTTCTGGGTATACCTTGCATTTACTACCTGAACCAAGCCACTACTGGCTCTCTGTTCTTCTTTTGGAATAAAAGTCGGATCACTTGTAAGACGAAGCGCATCATTTAAAGTCGACATAACATCACCATCGACACCCTGAAATTCCTTAACATCTATCAAAGGGCCCAGTTTTGCAGCATTTGTGGTGGAATCATCACTGGCTAAAAGATGGGAAATTACGCGCAAGGATTGCACCCAGAGGTTCTTTGACATGAGCTCGCCCACCAAGGATTCACCAAGCGCGTCACCAGGATTCCATCCCCACAAAGTAATAGCAGACCGCCATAAATCATGCCTTACAAGCGCTTTCAGCATGAGAGAACACGTGGGTACATTTTCAGACGTTAGCAACCTCGCCCACGAATGCAGTTTCTCAGTTCCTCCGGAATTTTTTAGGAATAACAAGGCTATTCTCTGCGCATGTTCCAGCTCAAGGGAGGATCCGCACTCAACGAGTGATCGCTGATAGTGTGCCAGCGCACTCTGCCATGCAAATGCCGTTTTGCAAACGGAAGCAACTAAAGGATTAAAACCCCCCGAATGGTGCATCCCCCATTTATCCAAGAAAATAAGCCTAACGACTATAGGTTGGAAAAAAAAAAAGAAAAAAGATGCAAAAAAACCGCACGACTCTGAATGGGGGGCGGCCCGGCACCCGGGGGCAAGGCGCCAGGACGCGCCCGCCCGCTTTTTTCACAGAACGCCCGCCCACCACCGCCACACAGACGCACACACACAGAGACAACCCCCGCACTGCAAGGCCAAAACCGGCGGCGCCGGGAGGCACCCCGGAAGGGCGGGCCGCCCCCTCCGGGGGGNCGGGCCGGGCCGGGGTCCGGGGAAACGGAGGGTGCCGGCGTGGCGAAGTTTTGCCGGTGATTTGGGGAGTCGTGGTCTGGGTGTTCCCCTCTGCAGTTTTTTTTTTTTCCGCCGTTGTTGAGTTGCGGTTTTTTTCTACTTATTTCTGATTGTTTTGTCTTTCTCCTGCAGTCTTTTTTTACTCGCATCCAGAGTTGAGAGTTAAACATAAATCATCACTGCAAAAAAGAAAAACATGGACCCTTCTACGATGATGGCTTTTTGCCCTTCAGGCGATTTTGCTCGGATAGAAAATGCTGTTCGAGAATGGCCTTCTGTAGAGGCTGTGGGTTCGTTGAGAACTAAGGATAAGAAAAAGGATATAACAAATGTGTTCATTAAATTCAGCGATGAGGAGGCGGCAAAAAATGCAGTTTCTTTGGTCGGAACGGTCCCCGGCCTTTCACTGACAGACGAAGATTCTGACGAGAACAAGGCAAATCCCAAGAAGGTTGCAAACAAAGGGAAATCGAAAAATCTTGCACTTGAGTTATTGAATTTTGGCACGTACGACAGACGGAAAAACGTCACAGAGCAAAGCGGAAAAAGAAATTTTGAAAACAATCAAAGGGGCCGCGGTGCTAGGGGTGGAAGAGGTCAACACGGTGGAAGACAGCCTGCTGGAACAGGTAGAGGAAGACGACAGCCTTTCTTCGTTCCACCTGCTCAGGTGAGCGTCGCATTCGCCGATAATATTCCATTTAACATGACCAATGAGCAGTTAATTGAGGTGTTCGTTCCTTTTGGACGTGTGGTTGACATCAATCGTTACGAATTAATGGCTATGGTGTTTTACGACTCACCAGAGGCTGTCTTGAATTGCATTCAGCACCTCAATGGTAAGATCGTCAAGGGCAACGTCGTCTCCGTCAGCAGTGGATCGGTAAGGATTCCAGGACCCGCAGCTCTGCAGATGGGGTTGTAGTCTGTTGAACATGATCAAGTCCACCTAAGAGATTTTAGTTACCGTATAAGAACACTTGAAATGTTTTACTGCGGTGGGAGTAAATGTATGTCTGTTCTTCCATTGCGTGCAGCACTATAGATAAAACTTGCTACACTAGGTTTCTCTTACATGTTCTGTCTGTCTAAAGGAGAGAGTTTTTTTTCGGTTTTTCGAAATGAGAGCTTCTCTTAGGTTCCTTGATCAAACACATGGACCCCACAAGTCTTACAAATACACATATATGCCAGATCCCCGAAAACTAGCACCCATCGAAACTACACAGCGTTCAGAAATTCTTCCAATTGCCGTTCGTCCACCGACATCTTACGTTCCTAATCATGAAACCTTTTTAGAAAAGGCTGATATTCATCGCCTGAAGCCCACTAGTGATTTCAAAGCAACATTTAAAGATTGGAACGACTTGATGACTTGCAACAAGCGGCAGTTGCGAGTAAGGGGCATTCCGCGGATGACTCGACATGCCATTAGAAGTGCCGTCCTTGCATTTCAAAATGGCAATCCTCCTGAGCAGTTTGATACAAAGGAAGAGTGGTTGTACTACAAGCAGTTTAAAACGATAGACTTTAGTTATCGGGTGATTCCGGAGCTCCCAGAAAAATACCGGCCTCATCAAAATGGAGTTGATCAGGCACCAATACCGGACTATCGCGAGATTAACAGAATGCCTGAATGGGCCAGAAAGGAAGAGGAGCGCTTAGCCAAGGAAGCGAAACCATGATCCTCTGTCATTGAAAAAGAAAAGTTAAAAAAAGATGTAATGACTTACATTTAATCGTAGATCTCTGTGCTGTTGGGTGTTGCAGCAAACTGGTATGTCTCTGTGATTTTGCACATTTCTTTTTTGTTTATTTTTTTTTTGGGGGGGGAAGATCATGTCTGAAACTCCGTATGAGGCTGTGAGCGATGTCTCGGAGCTGGACCCTGAGGCACTTATTTTGGCTCCAGTGCAGCAGCGCATTGAAGCGCAGCTGCGGAAACACCTCCAGGAAATTACACAGCAGCTTTACGAAGTGAAGAACGAGTTGGGTTCAGTTCAAAAAGAGAGAGAGCAATGTGGTGTCGAACTTTACAACTCGCAACAACATCTCGCCAAGCTGCAGGAGACCCTGGAGAAGTATCATGAGAAGCACACATCGACTCAGCAACGGCATGAAGAAAAGCTGCAAGAACGTGAAGAACTTGCATCACAAGCAAACAACTTACGTAAGGAAATTGATGACTATCAGCGACAGTACGAGCGTCAGCAAGGTGACCTTGTAAAATTAACTGAGACTCTAGTAAAGGTGCAAGAATTCAATGAACAGCTTAGAAATGAGGTTCAAGTTGAACGGCGTGCCGCCTACAAAACGGAAGAAGATATTACGAATTTAGAGAAGGAAAAACTCAAACAAGACAACCTCATTGATGCTCTTGAAAAACGAGTAGTCTTGCTAGAAGAGGAGTTGTCCACAACAAACACCCAAATTGACAATCAGAAAACCGAGACTCAGAAAGCGCGGGAGATATTGGCTGAAGCGATGGCGGAAATGGAAGCAATCAATTTTGAGAAGAAACAGTTAGTGCAACAGTGGAAAAGTACTCTTATCGGAATGCAGCGTCGTCATGAAGCTATGAAAAAAACCGAAGAGGCCCTCCAGCAACAAAAGGACGATCTCCAAGCCTTGGAACATGAGATAACCGGATGTCGAAAAGATATTCAGGGTGTCGAAGCCGAAACCTCCAAGTTGAGAGAGTTTATGTCTCGTGTGGATAACGAAGTTGCTGTACTTGAAAAGCAAATTGAAGCTCTGGTGGAAAGGAAGGAGAAGAGTGCGCAAGCTTATTCTATGCTAAAGAACAATCTGGAACAAGCTGACATAGAGAGTAAAAAGTTGGAATACGAAGCGCGTACGTATGCATCTGAGACTACAGAGATTGATAGGAAGATTCAAAAATGTGCCAAGGATATCATTTCCATGGAAAATGACATAATGGAGTCACTTAGTAAGCAAACTACACTCAAACAAGAGAGTCATGGTACGCTGCATGAAATCGAGAAGATTAAGGAATCAATAAGAGCCAAGGAACTACAAGTGACGCAAATGGAGAATGAGTTGGCTCGCATTCGAGTTGATACTCTGCAAGCCCAATCTCACAACGAGACATTGAAGACTACTTTAAGTGAGGTGGAAAAAGAGATTCAGTCACGAGGTGTAATGATTGAACGCATGCAAATGGACATTCGTCGCCGGCACGATGAAATTGACAGAAAACAAAAACAATTGGATCAACTTAACCACCAGTATGAGGAGTTGGTTTCCATTCACGGTGTCGAGAAGGGCGAGCATGTCGGTCCGTTGGAAGCTACCATCAATAGCCTATCAAAAGCTATTGCAGAAAAGGTGGGTGAAAACGAAGCACTTCAACAGGAATGGATTAAACTCCAAACGGAGTTAGTCAACTGCAAGAACAGTGCAAATGAGGTCAACGAAGCTATACTTGAACTACAGGCCCAGGCAACAGTGCTTACTCAAAAAAGAGACCGCCTTTTGGGAAATATTGCAAATGAGAAGAAGGATATTGTCAGTTTAGAAAACAAGGCAAATGCCATGCACCTTGAAATGAAGAGGGTAAACACTCAATTGAGTAAAAATTCCGAGGATCAAAGAGTTATTACCAACGAGGCATTTCTTCTTGAAAATGATCTTATTCGCCGACTCCAAGAAAAGAAGCGTGAGGCAATTGATCTCGAAAACAAGGTGGAAGAAGTAAGACAGTCTAAAACGGACCTGCTTGAACAAATCATGAATTGCGAACGCGACATTCTGTTTTGGGAACGAAAAATACAAGTCGCAAAGGAAACTGAGATGGCGCTTGACCCAAGTGTTGGCAAAGCAGAAGTCGAAAAGATGAAAAAAGAAATTGGTATCATGGAGAAACGCATGAATGAACTTCAGCGCGAACAGAGGTTTTTGATTGAGGAGATGCAGAAGTCGATTGATCATCGAGAGATCATTCGAACTAAAGGTCAAGCTATTCAAGAAGCAACAAAGAAGAATAAGCGGGGTGCAACCAGAATGGACATGGACAAGGAAAGTGCAAGGATGTTTAAGGAGTTGAATGAAAAGAGACAAGAGGCCCAGTTGAAAGAACGGCTTATCAAGGACACTTTGGCTGCTATTGAAAAGGTAACTACTGAAGCTGAAACCACCCAGCGTGAAACTGAAAACCTTGATGAACAGATTGCAGAACTTGAATCACAGTTGATGGTAGCGCAGAAAGAGCGTGACCATTTGGAGGACGAGAAGAGAGTGAAAAATATGACTCTTCAGCGTCTTCGTGATGCTGAAAAGGGTACCTACACGTCGTCAGCTAGCCCAGAAGAGGTGACAGAAGGCGTTGCTCGGCTCGATGAGAAAAAACAGGCGCTGATGGAGATTGTAGAAGATTTGACCAATCGCTATCCTGATTTGGCAGAAGATTTAGCCGGCATTGCCCTAACTCTATAGATCTTTCTTGACAGTGCGCAGTGATGAAATGTATTGTGTTTCTGGCGCACATTCTAAAATGTGGTTTACATATGTAGAAAAAAAAAACGGCTCGGTTGTATGTAACATCGGGCAGGCATTTACTGTTTATTGCAACCTCTGGCATTGCCGAACGAAACGGGTTGCGGCCTTATTAGTTTTTCTTGTGTGTTTTAATGTGTTTCCCCCTTAGATTCCTTCTTTCCCTTTTTTTTTGTTATCTTTCTCCAAAAACAGTGGAAGAAAGGTAGCCGTGCTCTTTAGTCCAAATGAATGCTGAAGATGCGCTACATCCGTGGTCTGTCTCGCGTGTTTTCCGTTCTCTTGAATCCAGACGGGAGAATCGTGCAGACTTGCTCACCGTTGCAAGTAGTATTCCTGACGTCGCTTCGCGTACTATGCTGTCTCCGCTCTTTTCACATCGCTCGATTCACCAGTTTGGTCATTCCCCTGCGTTTGGTACGATATCCTCCATGTGTAATCATGCGCTGACGCAGCAGCGGCGCTACGAAGAAGAGATTCGGAGTGATGCGTGTGTAAATGGGCAGGGTAGCAGTGGTGGTGCAGACCATGAAGTAACGTTCGCTGCCACGATAACAAGCAGCTGGCTAGAGAAAACTACGGTGAGTCTGGGAGCCGCACTGCTTCCCCTAATCGGCAAATCACAGGAGCATTTACTTACGGCCCTGAAGAAGCGGTTATGCGACATCGTTCAGTGTTCGTCTAGTACCAGCATTAGTGATAAAAACTCACCTTATACGTCTATTCGAAAAACCACAACCATTTTGAATCGAAAAAGGGCGGCGGAGAGGGTCGAAAAGGGAATGACTTTACCTCAACGGTACGTCCTTCCTGTTGGAATGACTTCTCCAACGAATGTTGCCCGCAACGTAAGTGCTAACGAATGTCGTGAGTTGTTGAGTCAACTAAAAAATACCCCTGTGCCATTTCAGGTACGCTCACGCGACGAGGTGAAGCTGCAACAGTCCAAACAAAAGGCTTTGGAGGCGAGCATGACGGTAGTGCTACCCGAGCATGTTGTTCCACTGCCGCCATGGAAACGACGAAAAACGGATTTGGAGGACACTGCAGAAGCCGAAAATCTTGCCGACCCACCAGTACCGCTTCTGTCCGCAGAGCCGGTCTGCCCTCAAGAGACTCTACAGGACGCGACATGGGTAAAGGAGGGGGAACTTGTGCTTGTCAATGGTCGCCTCGTTTACCGTGAAGGAAAGAAACCACGGGAGGGGCCTCCTAAAAAGGATAAGACAGCAACCCCAAAGCTTGACGACGCGTTAAACCGCACAACTACTTCAAAAACATCAGCCGTATCAAAAAAAAGAAAGGCCTCAGTAGATTCTCCGCGTAAGAGAAAGTACACCAAACAGCAAAGCAGTGTATATGCTTCCCCATCAAAATTCAATGTTGTTAGCACACAGAATGTGCCATTAAAAACCAGGGAAGAACTTTTGACGCTGGTGAATGCTCTTCAGATCTCCGATGTTCTACGTGGGGCTTTCTTAATTGGATTGAATGATGACGCTTCAGTTTTGACGGACAAGAGTCCTTGATGCGATGGTGTAGCTTATGTCATGGCCCTACCACGCAATAAAGGAATCTTGACTTTGTGTTCTTTTTTTTTTGAGCAAAATTTTCAAATATCTCCGACATTTTTCTGGCTCACTGTTTTTTTTTTGGTTTTCTTCATATCAACGCAAAGGGAAAGTGAATAAGTGGACAATGCCACAAAACGCTTTTTGGCACCCTGCCACTGAGCCTACGGGAGAAGAACTTGAGCAGATTCTGTTCAAAACATTCCTCCAGAACGTCTTCTGTACTCAACATTCTGCTGCGAGTCGAGAAGCGACTCGCCTTGGACGAAAGCGGCAGCGTCCACCGCAACGGAAGCCTGCAGGAGACGATAACAAAGTAGACGAATCCATCGAGGGGAGACCCCTTCTTAATATGATTACTTCTCTCGTTCGCAGGTGTGGCGTTCCATACCAAGCGCACACTGCAGAAAGTAGCGTAGACACGCTGCAAATCACACCCGCATCCATGGTCATGAGAAGTCACACACTATCGGAAGCAGTAAACGCATTGCAGGAAGGAGAGCGCGTGCCGGACGAAATAACCCACCGGCCTCGGAGCGCGCTCGCCACCCTCATTGAATCTGTTCGAAAGAAAGAGCACCTACAAGTGTCGCATCTTTCCAAAGGTAGCAATACTGCGGTGGTACCGACGTCAGACTCCCACAGTAACAGCGGGTGCAGCGCGCCTCATCGGGGACCACGCGAATATACCCCTCCAAATGGCGAAGAGGAAGAGGAATTTGGCGTATCACTGCCTTTTGAACCCACTCATGCTAATAGCAGCAGTAACTCGGTACTGCAATCACCAAACAAAGGCATTGAGAAGCATCCTTCACAGATGTCACAAGACGAGTTCCTCCGGCAATTCAAACGCGCCCCGCGTCGTGGGGAGATTGGGTATGATGCAGAGAGTGTTGCTGCAGCAGAGGCCGTTGGATATGTCATGAGTGGTTCCCGTAATAAGGAAAAACAACACTATGTGGATAGCATTCAGCGAAAGCTGCACGAGAAAGAAGCCAGAAAACTGCGCCTACAGTTTCGGAAGGTGGAGGATGAACGAAACGACAATGCAACAGTAGAGCGGTTGCTCACATTGCTGTCTCAGAAGGGCACCAGTGAGGCCAGTAAATAAGGATTGAACACGTAGGTTTATCTGTATCTTCCTCACCATCAGGCCTAAATCTGAATTCTGGCAAGCATATCTCAACGTCAATGCAAGGCAAAAAAAAAAGATCTCATTCAGATGATAAAAAGCTCGAAAATGAGACATTAGGCTTCCATTATGAGGACGAAGTTCCCCAAAGAGAGCACAGCACGATGAAGACAAATGTCTTTCTGTTAGGAAGGCAATCACTTTTTTTTCATGGCTGCATACGAATGATCTCATTATTCGCACTGTTTGTAATCTGAATAGCAGATCCCATCTGGGCTGTACTGCTTTACTTTCATATGAAAACTCATAATTCCTCTTTGATTTCACGCCGTTGGCACACCTATTTCGAATCTCGCAGAAGGGAAGATACTGACAATGTGTTTCCGTATCGTTGATGCCGTTGGGGAATTTTATCCAGACCGCCATAGCGTGTGCTTGTTTCCTCCTCATCGGTGGCCCTGTCCTCATTATCATGGGCAGTTTGCTTCTCAAGGAAGATGATGGCCGCGATGAGTACAATGAGGCGGTGAGGAGCTTTGACCCTACACCCATCGACGCGTGGACCGGCACCATCAACGATGCAGCTGCGACTGTGAAGCGTCAGCCGTTAACCGTCGAGGGTGTGGACACTGCCACATCTGTGTATACTGAAGCCCTCGTCAGGATCACAGATTCACCACAGCCAGGTTCTCAGCTTGTGTTTGATGTGAACATCAACACTGTCGGGAGGTTCACACGGTCAGCCCCTTTGAATGTTGATAAAACAACAACGTACAAGTGTGTCTCGAGTGATTGCAGCACTTCAAGCAGTCCCTGTAACTGTAACAGTGCACTGACAGCCTTCAGGTCGAAATGTACTTCTGCGGGGGGGGTTTATACTCCTGCAGGGAGCTTCTGCACTCTGGGTGAAAAGTGCGGTACTTGCGAGCAATCAGTATACCTCTCGCGTTTGTACCTTGTTGCCAAAGAAAGCACCCCAGGCCAGTTTGAAGAGGATCTCGTTNGCTTCTGCACTCTGGGTGAAAAGTGCGGTACTTGCGAGCAATCAGTATACCTCTCGCGTTTGTACCTTGTTGCCAAAGAAAGCACCCCAGGCCAGTTTGAAGAGGATCTCGTTCTGCGCAGCGCCAAGTACGACTTTACGGACTTGGCCAACGATTACCAGGTGAAGCAGCCGACGGTTGTTGGGGTGCGTCTGTACAGCAGCAAAGATCCCTACATTGCCCTGCAGCGGCTGACCAAAGGAACGAATGACTTTGGTATTGGCCGCCATACAACTGGAATTGTGATGATTGTTCTTGGGGTTCTTCTTGTTCTTTTGGAGATTGGTGCGTGTACGGCGCTTATATGCTTCTGCATGCGTCGTAAGAAGAAACCAGCGGGTGACGCAGCACCGGCGTCCACGCCGTCACTGGGAATGACAGACGTGCCTGCGTACATGCCGCCCAACTCGTACGGCAAGCCACCACCGCAAGACTACCCGTACGGCCAGCCACCACCACCACCACCGCAAGACAACCCGTACGGCCAACCACCACCACCGCAGGGCTACCAGTACGGCCAACCACCACCACCGCAAGGCTACCAGTATGGCCAATCACCACCACCGCAGGGCTACCAGTACGGCCAACCACCACCACCGCAAGGCTACCAGTATGGCCAACCACCACCGCCGCAGGGCTACCAGTACGGTCAACCACCTCCGCCTCAACAGGGCTGTTCATAGGGGTGCTCACTGCGTTTGGGTTTGGGTTGTGGTCAGGCGACTGTGCGGCCAAAATAATGTATCTGTGTTTAAACACCAGGGGCTGCCCCACCTCCAGAAGCTTGAATTCTCAAATCCAAGAAGTGAGGAAATGGATAGGAAGGGTAGAGTAAGGCAAATGGAAATGATTTTTATTGCTTTAAAAAGTAAGAAAAAGTAGAATGCATGGAAAAATAAGGTTGTATACATGGATGATTAAAAAAGGTATGCGGTTTGTTTGAGTAAATTCATACATGAAACCGTTACTGAAGATATGCTTGTTTTGGTAATTTTTTTTTTCTGTTTATCCTGTGAAAAGGTTGAATTTCCTTAAAACGTATTCAATTTTTTTTTTTGTTTGTCTCTTGTTTAAAGAGAGTGATAAATGCTTGTTTCTATTATATGGCTTTTAGCTACATTTTTTCCTTTATGTCTGATTTAGTTCATCGATAAATGCATTGCTCTTGGCTGCCGATTGCTTCTTGTTGTATACAGGGCAAGAAAAAAGCATGCAGCTACATGGTCTTGTGGTTCTTCGCCGGATGATGCTAGAGAAGAGTGACCACTTGATCCATTTACAAATTCCGGTAGGTCGTTGAAGCGGCATTCGTTGTTATCGTCGGTCATTATTGCCTTCGTTTCCAGGTGGGGGACCGTTGCAGCGTGAAGTTGCTCTGTCACGTTGGTGCCGGCTCTATGGATGTGCCGTTTTTGTGTTTCTTTGAAGGTTTCGTCTATTATTATTGGGGGTGTGCTGCGGATGAGAGAGGATGCGCAGTGCGCTGAACAAATCGTATAATTTCACGAGGGGCCGGCTAGTGGTGCCGTTGGTGTGTGTCTTCTGAGTTCAGGCGTGAACGTGAGTGTCAGACTTCTGTGCGCTCTCAACGGTGCCACGAAAAATCGGCCTTTGCAGCTATTGCTAATTTTTCGCTCCGTATCGCTGCCGGTGGAGAAAACACAACCATTTTTGGTATGCCGTGATGATCCAGACAGTGAACAGTTGCTGAATTTAACGAACAACTCGGTGGATATCGTTCTGGAAGAGGCGTTGACTATTAACCTCACTGATATGGAAATTACGGTGTCGTCTCAAGTAGGTCTGCTTGACGACGTAAGCCATCGGAATATTTTTATTGAAGACTCCATGCTGTGCTACCCCCTCTATGATAACTTGCCGCGAACGGTGGAGGCATGCCGTGTGCTGCGGTTTAGTTCCAGTCAATAGGGACACTTTCGCCATAGATGCATCAGCTGCTGTGTGCTTCTCTGTGGTGTACACTATCATCGAACAGCATGGGAAGTCTTATTTACGGCAGCCGGTAAATATATGCCATAGGTAACCCGTTGTTGGTGAAGAGGCTCTTGTTTTCAAGTAGTTCACTCCTTTCAAATAAAAAAGCTCTCTCTGGAGCTTTTGGCGAGCATGTCGCAGATATGGTGCTTATTTTCATCGCATCCGTATCGCTTTTGTGCACAGCTGCTCGTAGCCTCCTCTTCCTTGTGCGGAAACGAAGGAGACGCCGCATGGTGGAAGCAACGTCTCTCTGTGGTCTAGGGACTCCCCCATTCAGCCTTGAGAAAAAGGTTTTTGATGGCATGAAGCAATTCGCAGGCGTCACGTTTTCGGAGGAAGGTGTGGGCAGAGAGAACGAAAAGCAGGTTTCTGGCGCTGCATGAACCCTGTGGGCGCCGCTATGTTCCTCAAAAAGATCTCCAGAGCATCCAGCGAGACAGAATACCCCCCTGTAAACGTAGGCGAGAGAGTGGTGCACTCTTGGGTGGTGGAAGTGAAATGCAATGAGTAACAGGGGTCTGGAAAACTAGCATTTCTACTAGCGCTGGTTTACTTATAAGCAAAACCAGCGAAGGGGTGCAAGCTCCACAGATCTTCTTTACAACAGAGCTGCACTGACGGTGTTGTTGTGACTGTCTGTAGGCAGAGGGGTGGATCTGTGCAAGTATTATGGACTGTCTGATTGTATCCTTCGTGGGTATTCAGTGACAATTGGAATTTTGATGTGTGTATGTGCGTTCATATCTCTTTCTCTTTCTCTCTCTCTCTCTCTGCCTGTGTGTAAGTGCGTGCCTCTTCCTGTTTCACAGACTACGTGGGGTGAAGATCGCCGGACGGGTGGGCTTTCCCGAGTCGGTGCAGGTCTGATGGTCGCTGAACACACACACCCCTCATTCAATTTAAACGGTTTATTTCCAAGTGTCGTTGATGTGGCTTTAAAATGTTAGCACGCTTTGCAAAGGACTTTCATACTTATAAACGCAATTGCTGTTCTTTGCCTGCCATGTTTTTTTTTTCTTGCTGGTGGCGAGAGAAATAAGAGCCCGCTTACCCAAAGCTGTTAGTGCTTTACATTCGCTGTGAGTACCAGAAGAGATTTTCGCCGGGGGGTATGCGTATGTGTGCGCTGGAACGGAAAAGAAAAAGAAGGGCGCGAGCCAGCATGCCCCGTTGTTGATGGAGTTTTCCCACTCTCTTTTCTTTGTTCCTGGTGTCGTTGATAGTATTAATATCTCTCTTTGTCTCACACCTTTGCTTCCACAGGATTTTTAGAACGGGCATGACCACCAGTAGTGAAGTTCATGGGTACTCGCTGTCGGCCGCCTCGTTGCGTGGGGAACGTGTCGTCGTGTTTGGTGTCGTGAAGAATATTATTCTTGCCATCAACGACGGTACGGACGAGCATGCATTTGTTGTGAATGATGATCAAGTAGTGCGCGATGTTGCACTCCTGGAGACTCCAGGAGGTGCCTGTTGCGTTGTGTCTGGTGGTGATGGCAAGCGTATCAACGTGTACAATGTGCCCTCCGTGCAGGGGACGAAAGATCAGTCGATCCAACATAATGGAACTCATACGGGCACATTGGCGTTAGCGTTTAGCTTCGGACCACACTCTAAGCGCATCACACACGTCGCAACCTCTGATGACGCCACTATATTGTTTGCGGATAAATTCGGGGAAGTGTTTCGCCTCGGGTTTCTGTGGGGACCCAATCAGAATATTATGGCGGCGGGTGGTGAAGTGGCGCCCGTTTTTCTTTTGCAGCATTTCAGTGTGATGAGCACCTTTTTCCTCTCTGCGCCTCTTCGCCAGCCGAAGTGTGGCCAAGACTCTTTACAGACAGCAAGTACGAGGGCTGGGCTTGCCGCGTCCCGCAGGCTCTTTACTTTCGACAAAGACCGCCATGCGAGAGTCAGCTGCTACCCTGAGACGTTTCGTATTCAGCAGTATCTCTGGACGGATGCCCCGCAATCTGTGGTGACCTCCATCACGGAAATACCAGACACCGCAGAGTCAGGCCGCTACTCCTACTTTGTGGTTGGCTGCCACAACGGCACGGTACACTTGTGGGTTGCAGATAACATGGCGCCAAGCGAGTGCATAGCAGATCCTTTTACTCTTATTGGCTCCATCGTTGCGCAGAAAAGTGTCCCTAAGGGAGATGAGGAGGTCTCTGCGGTGGTGTCTGTGGTGTGTCTTACTTCATCGTCCCCTGGGTCTGACAGTCGTGTGGACGAGAGTCACTCGCGAGGCATTCTCATTACGTGTGCAAATACAATGGACGTCATCTTTGTACCTCTACGCAAAAGCGACGACAACCACAAACTGTTGTTTTGCGCCGATGGTGCTACCCGAACTCGCTTGGAATCCTTTCCCGTTGCAATGGTTGGATACAGCACCGATTCCGCCCTTGTACTGCAGCGAAGTGGCCGCGTGCAGGTTCTGCAGCTTACCCACGGGGATGGGCCGGTGGTCGCCCATCTCGCAGAGGCACAACACGCGCCACTCGAGAAAGCGATCGGGGGTCTCCTTCAGGGTCCTCTGCGCACACTGCTGAGCGAGATGGATTTGTTCGCGCAGTGGAATTACGATGCGGTGGACCCACGAGCGCGCAAGAAGAACACGAGAGCGTCGTCGGAGGACTGTGACGAGGAGGGCGAGGCGGAGGAGTGTGAGACTGCAATGGCAACGCAGTCTGGCAGCAGCAGCAGCAAGAAGACCCGTACGGAGCACAGTGGTGTTGTGTAACGGCAACTGGAAGGTGAGAACCGATAAGAATGCACGGCGAGGGCAAAGAGAAAAGAAAGCACAGCCTTAACGCTGTTTTTTTTTTTATTTTGGTAATCTGGGAAGATTCGGTGTAGGACAATAGATTGGGTCTAACTTCTGTTTGAATTGCATTGCTCCACCTGACCCTTTTTTTCAGAGTGTATCTTTTGCCTCTTTTGTTTTTTATGTTGTTTGGTGTGTACACCGCCTAGAAGGACAGATGCGCATCCGCAAACGACAACCGTTGCTGTGGCGTAGCGGGGTGAGGCTGCAGTGTTGCAGGGTTTCGGGCTGATGTGGGGAACACATCAGAACAGGACCGTATCCGCGGAGATCGTGACCCAAGGAAGCTTCAAATGCTGCGTTTTCACTTAAAGTTCAAATAAGGAGAGTGTGGATGCTAATGGTAAATCCTTTTTTGATGTCGGTTTTGACTGCTTCTTGCTCGTGTAAGCACAAACAAGTTTGGGGCTGACGGGACCTTTTGTTTTTTTTGGGGGGAAGGCGCTATTGTTTCTCTTAATTACCTACGTGTGTTTTCTCCTGCATACGCGACCCAATGCTTCTCTTTCACCCTGGCGACTGGTGCAGGTATCCTCCGACATGCTGATTAGTGATTGGTGCTGTTGTTGTCCGTGTTTATAGCCGCTTGGGGTGCAGCGGCAGCTGTGTGGCTATGGGGAGGGTGGATCTGTCGCACACAGCACATCATTTTTTTTTATTGGTTTAATAGCTTTGTTTTTCCTCAGTCTCTTCTTTACACCCTGAAGGAAAACGGGCATACAGCGTGTGTGTGTCTCTGGGAAGCTGGGGTGCATAGGCCAGTACAACAGCAGGATTCCCCTCTGTTCTTCGGGCCGCTCTCATGTTGCGTTGTTCGTGGCTCTTTTTTTTTTTTTTTGTTGTGGTGGCTCTTCTTGCAAAGCTTTCTCCCTTGGCCCTTTACATTTCCTCACACGCCTGCTTCCTCAACTGTAGGAGCTGCACTTTCGTAAAAACAAACCGACACACCAGTCGCCTCGAGCAAAGCAGGAAGAAAAATAAAATAAAATGGGCGCGCTGTTTAGCTTTAACGCCACACACGAGGAGGTCCCCGATGAAGTAAAGGAGAGGGTAGAGCCGATAGAGTACACACCGGCGCCTGAGAGCGCACGGCCGAAGGACGGCCGTGTTTGTGAGGGGTGCGGTGAACCGTTCTTCTATTACCTCACGCCCAGCACAAATTGCAACTGGTGCGGGCGCCAGCTCTGCACGCGGTGCTGCCCGAACCGACACCTCCTGGGCGGAATGCCAGGCTGCCCCGACTGCACGCGCAAGGCGTTTCTGACAAAGCGAGAGCAACTGCTCGATGCGCACCTCGCCGTCATGAAGACAGGTGAGCGACCGGCTGAGGTTGACGTCGCGTAGGAGACGTTTGCCGTCTGTTCCTCGCAGGTGGGTTGGTGGTGAATTGTTTGTGGCTACCTTCCCGTCCTTTTGTCTATAGCATACATATGAATATATATATATATATATATATACAGTCTCTGTGTGCGAAGGGTATGTGCATGCGGTACGCCTACAGTCTCTTTTTTCAGTATGACTGTTATATCCGAATTCACGGAAAGGGAGAAGAAGAAAAAAAATACCTCTTTGCTTCATCAATGGTATTATTTCTAATGCGAGTATTCTCACTCCCCAACATGCATAGGGAGAAGACCGGGGGAAAAAAGGTAAGGAGATGCGGTACTATACAGTTGCAATGCTTCAAGTTGTCATTTCATCTTGTGTTGCTCTCCTTCACAATTTCTTTCGTGCGTGGGTGTGGGTGTGTAGGCGGGCACCTGTGTGCAATAGGTGCGGGGACTCAAGAGCAATTTTATACCATTTTGGCACGCAGTCCATGCTCCGCTTCGCAGGGGAGTTGTGCTTACCCAGTCCTGTTGTTGTTGTTGTTGCGTGTTTATTCGCGCGGCGACGGTGTGCCTGCATGAATAAGAGCCACGCGGATGTGGCCCCGTTCGTTCTGCTGCGCGGCGATGACAGCAACGTTGAGGTGCGGGCGTGGATCAAAGGGCTCGAGGTGGAGCGCTCCGCACACGAGCAGCTCCTGCAGCTCTCACGCATGGGTGATGTCATTCACCACCCAATTGCCGTCATGCCGGATGTGCACACAGGTCATGGTGCCACTGTGGGGACGGTGATTCCAACGACCCGCGCGCTTATCCCAGCCAGTGTCGGTGTTGATATTGGATGCGGCATGATTGCGGTCAAAACAAGCCTCACGCAGGAGGATCTCCCGAGATCCCTTGCAGGGCTGCGGTTGGCCATTGAAGTCGCCGTGCCGCACGGACGCACGCACAACGGCAGGAGCAGCCTGGATGCTGGAAGCTGGCGGGGCGACGTGCCAAGAAATGTCGCCGACACTTGGAGCACACATCTACAGAAGGGATTTGAGGAGATCTGCAGCATGCATAAGCAGATTGAGTTCAGTAACCATATCACTCACCTTGGGACGCTCGGTGGTGGTAACCACTTCATTGAGCTCTGTGTCGACGACACTGAGAGTGAATCACAACGGCCACACATTTGGGTAATGCTGCACTCCGGTTCGAGGGGTGTTGGGAACCGCATCGGTACCATCTTTATTGAGCTTGCCAAGAAAGATATGGGCAACCACATCGCCAACCTTCCGAGTGCCGAACTTTCATACCTCCGGGAGGGATCGCCACACTTTGACCAATACGTGAAAGCTGTCGACTGGGCACAGCGTTACGCCAAGTGGAATCGAGAACTCATGCTGCAGAGCGTTCTTCAGGCGATGCGCAACCACATCCAGAAACCATTTACAGTTGACAAAATGGCCATCAACTGCCATCACAACTACGTTGAGCGTGTGGAACTGAGCCCGAAGAATCATGTGTGGCTCACACGTAAAGGCGCGACATCGGCACGCGCAGGTGAACTGGCAGTTATTCCTGGCAGCATGGGTGCAAAAAGTTATATTGTGCGCGGTAAGGGCAACCCGCTGAGCTATGCGTCGTGCTCGCACGGGGCTGGAAGGCTCTACAGCCGCGGAGAGGCAAAGCGGCGCTTCACACTTGAGGACCATGAGGCGGCCACCGTCGATGTGGAGTGCCGCAAGGATGCTGATGTGCTGGATGAGACGCCGCTGGCATACAAGAAGATTGATGACGTGATGCGGGCGCAGAGTGACTTGGTGGAGATCGTTTGCGCACTGAAGCAACTTCTCTGTGTGAAGGGATGAGGAAGTCCCTCCCCTTTGTTCTGATGTCGAAACGACTTGCGGAAGGTTGCACGCCGTTTTTATTCTGCTGCTCCTGCTCCTGCTGGTGCTCTTGCTTTTGTTGCTGTTGTTGCTTGGAAACTCCCTCTTCTTTTCCCTTCTACGAGAGTGAGGCGTGCCGTCGGTGAGAGGGGAATTTGTAGGTAGAGGAAATTGACCAGTCAGACGCAGGTGAAACGATTTTGAATAAAGGGGGAAAAAAAAGAACAGAAAGCTACATTTCTTGTACTTCTGTTGTGAAATTTTCTATCTGTAGGGGGCGAACTGGATTGCTGCACAACACAACTAGCCAGGAAAAAGGCACTGATGTCAGCTAGCACACCGGCAGAGAAGAGGCTAAAGTACAAGGAGTATGCTCCGCATATTGAAGTGAGCTTTTGGTATGAGCTCGAGCGCAGGAAGTTACATGAATGGCGGTTACAAGAGCCAGTTGTGCCATTGACACTTTTTAACACACTGAACGCTGCGTCGTCTGCCACTCCTGCCAATACAGTCTCAGTGCGGCGGGAGAGTTTAGGCAACGACGCCATCGCCTTATCTGCTGGAATGAAGGCCATTACTCCCTCAGCAACTGCCACAAATGCAATTGACGTGCCATGGTCGATTCCCACGCTTATCACTGGGCAGATGCAAAACTTCAACACTTACGAACAGCTACACCGTCTTTCCCGTCGGGAGGCGCTATGGCGTGTGCTGCAGGACCTGCTGCTCACTCCACTGCTATCAAGGCGTGGCTCTGATGATGAAGAGGATCATGATGCTGCCGACACTGCATCAGAGAAGGCGTGGGAAGAGATGAACTTTGCGCTCGCTGCCCTATTTACCTATGTGGATTTAAAGCAACACCGTTTCCACTATGCTATAGCGTTCCCCGTGCTCGACCTCGGATCCCCTGTGTGCGTCAAACACCTCGTAAAGGGAGGCTACAAGGCTGCTGCCGCCAACAACGGCGTCACATATTTCCCTAGCCACGCGGCTGTCGATTGCGTGCACGCGCATCTGCTTGAAAGGCTGCGTCGGCACCCGGAGCGTGGGCCAAATCCGTTCATTGTTGCTTCTGGTAGCACAGGCAATGTTAATGATGCTAATGACGAAGTGGAATTGTTATTTCATCCTTTCCTGCCTCGTTTCATGAAGCCAGTGGAGGCGACACGGCTTGTCATTGCGATGGCGGACGTATCCACCATGGATGAGTTCCCCGGCTGGGCTGCCCGCAACGTGATTGGTGCGCTGCGCCTCGCCCATCCGTCCACGACATCTTTTGTGCTGTACTGTGTTCGCCACAATGACGTGGCGCGTAGCGTCCTCTTTGACTGCATCTGTGACCCATTGGACTTTTCACTGAAGGGCGCAGCAGCAGCAGCATCATCAGAAGTAGGTGGCACAGTGAAGGCGGTTGGATGGAGTGAACGTAAGGACGCTGCCTCACATGTGCGCTGCATCGATCTAGGTGCCATGATGGCACCGGAGCGGTTGGCGGAGTCGAGTGCGCGACTGAATCTGAACCTGATGAAGTGGCGCATGCTGCCGGAACTCCGCCTTGATGAACTGGCGCGCTGCAGGGCGCTGGTGCTCGGAAGCGGCACCCTTGGCTGCAACGTGGCACGGCATCTGTTGATGTGGGGAGTCACGAGAATCACTTTGGTCGACCGCGGCAAGGTGTCCTTCTCGAACCCTGTGCGACAAACGCTGTTTGAGATGTCAGACGTTATTAACCCACACGACGACGAGCGCAACAAAGCCATCGCAGCTGCCAATGCGCTTAAGCGCATTCTTCCTACAGTGGAAGCCCACGGCGTGCCGTTGACTATTCATATGCCGGGTCACCGCATTGACGCGCCACGCGAGGCAGAGGCGATTGCTGAAATTGAAAAACTCGACAAACTTATTCAGGAGCATGATGTGGTGTTCCTTCTCACGGACAGTCGCGAGGCACGGTGGCTTCCAACAGTGATGGCCGCTGTGTACGACAAGCCTGTCCTTAACGCAGCGCTGGGGTTTGATACGTACGTCGTCATGCGTCACGGCGTTAAGCCAGGCAAAGGCAGCGGTGCCAGGCGTCTTGGGTGCTACTTTTGCAGTGACTTGGTTGCACCAAGGGACAGTATAACGGCGCGGACGCTGGACCAGCAGTGCACTGTTACGCGACCTGGCGTGTCGGCGATTGCAGCTGCGACTGCATTGGAACTCCTAGCGCAGCTCTACAACCACCCTCTGGGATTCGCATGTCCCCCGTACACGGCAAGCGAGGTGCGAAACCCAGGGCAGAAGCAAGATGAAAGCTCTGCTTCTGAGGAAACCAGTAGCGCGGAGTGTATTCTCGGGACGATTCCGCATCAAATTCGAGGGAGTGTTGCTGCGCATTGCATTTACACTCTTCACGGATGCCAATACGAAATGTGCACCGCCTGCTCCGACCCTATCTTGGAGGCGTACCGTACAGACGGTGCTATTTTTGTGCTGCGCTGCATTAACGATCCACTGCACATTGAGGAAGTCTGTGGAGTGAAAGCATTCAAGGAGAAGTGTGACCTCGACGTCTGTGGCAGCTGGGATTTTGACTCGCAGAGCGACTGATTGAGGGGAATGAAGAGAAATCAGAATGGGGGAATGGTATCGGCCCAAAGGTTCCTATTTCTTGTGTGTGTGTGTGTGTGTGTGTGNCAAGTTTTTTTTTTTTTGCTTTGTGTGGACGAGTATATCGATTCTGCTTTCATCGCTGTTGTAAAGAAGAGAACGAGCAAAACCGGGTCTGTGTTTCATTTGTGCAGTGACATGCGTTCGATATGTATGTTTCCTTTGTGTTGCTGTCTTTTCCTTCAAATTTTTATACATGCGCTTATGGGCTTCTTGTCCTTTTGCGCTGCTCATTGTACAGAAGAAAAGTGAGAGGGCGCAAGTCGCTGTTTAGGCAAACCAACAGCAACAGGTAGCTGAGAAGCATGCCAGCAGCACCCGTGGCGCCAGGTACAAAGCGACCGCGTGACAACAACAGCGAGACTGAGGGAGGGCGAGGAGCACCTCAGCCGTCCGCGTCGCCACACGCAGCCATAATAGAAATAATCCACGGCATCACGCAGTCCGCGACAGAGGCATACGAGAAGCGGTGTGATGAGTTCGCGGTTGCCTGCCAAGACATGGACACTTTGCTGAGTTCTCCGTCGTTCCGCCAGAAGGCGCTTCGCTTCATGACTCCACGCACGGATGGGGCCGAACTTGACGGCCCTGCGGAGGTAGGAGTCGTGCAGCTTGTAGCCAACGACGGCGAAACTCTTATCTTCACATCTGAGGCCGTTGCATCCGTAAACGTCCCTGCCACTCTGGGACAACGCGTTTGCATGGGAGACATAGTGCTTTTTCAACGGCTCACAACTAATGATGAAGAGGGAAAATGTTCAGCAGCAGCAGCACTGGATTTCTTGGCCCTGGACCCGTCGGCGCTGCTGGATGCCACAGACTGGTGCCATGCCGCCTCGTGGAATGTGGTGGTGGTGATGAAATGGGTGCATAAACTCCTCTCATGCCCCCCAGGACTCTCGCAACTGACGTGCATTGTAGACTCTTTCATGGGGGTCGCAAATACATCTACCCCCGCCACAGATGCGTGGTCAAGATCGCTGCAGCTCCCTCTTCTCCTGTGCCAGCTGAAAAGAGTAGGGGACGTGGAGATAAGCAAGGTTCAGCAGGTGAAAAGGGTTATTTTGTCTCTCCTCCGCCTTTATGTGGCCATATTAGGGAATGCGGAGGCTATCATGACCCTACCACGCGTGGTGGAAGAGCTGGTTTACCAATTCATGGAGTCGCCATTGTTCGTGGACGGCCTTACGGTGGTGCTGCCGCAGATGGCTGCTGCTGTTTCAGAGTCTACATGGGCGAGCGTACAGCAGACGATGCACGACGCCATGCGGATGGCGCTTCGATATGTGTGCAGAGAGGAGGTGGTGTTGGAGACAAGGAGACAACATGAGCTGCAGCAGCGTGCTGAAGCTGCAGTGTTTACAGTCCTAAACCGCATCTCCGCTTTCTGGCTGACACACACTACTGCAGCAACAACGGCAGTACCACAGGCTAGTGGTAACAGCCATGCGGTGGTGCAGTTGGTGGAAGAGATTGCTCGTACTGGTGTGTTCCGCCGCGTCACGCAGTGGATGCGCCATAGAGAGCGTACAGTAGGCGCTGCAAGCCTCGTCGACAATGCTCATATGCCACCGAGCCTGCAGGACATATATGACCTCCATGGCTTACAGGAAACTACAGTAAAAGAAATGATGGCGGCAATGACACAGATATACACGCCGTACCTTCGTCAGGAGACGCTGCGCTTTGTTGAGTTTGCGATGCTTGCGGCGTATGCCGAGTTGTACGGGCCGGCGTCACGTGCCACAGCCAAATTGATTGAATCTGCCGCGAATATGTCAGTGGACGGAGTTGGGCATCAACAGCAGAAGCAACTGCGCATCATGGAAGTGATGCAGCCAGTTATTCGACAGAAGCTCTCAGACTACACTTTGGAGGAGACTCAGCTACATGCCTTATTTGGGATGCCGTTATCGATCAAGTTGCGCGTTACCGGTGGAAGGGATGCCCTTTGCCCTCTGAGGGAAACGACATCCACCTTTGCTTGCATTGTACTCCTATTAAATGGCAAACCATTTGTCTTCCCTGTCATTGTGTGCGATGTGGTGAAGGATCATGGTGATGATGAGGATGAGGGAGAAGATAAGTTTGTTGTCACGGCAACTGTCTACGTTCTCCGCGACAAGGACATGCTGCCCTCGCTGGTAACGGCGGGCGCCGCTGCTTCCACCACTCACGACGGCCTACCAGAGGCATGGCTGTGCTGCAGCGATCGTCATAAGAACTCGAGCAACAACGAAGAAGATCACATCAGTAGTCAATTTCCACGCTTCTTTCCAAAGGGCACATCCACCTTGTCGTATGTGTTATACATCCTGCACCTTCAGACGACACGCGCTCAGTTGAGGCATAACGAACAAAGTGGTGCGAATGGTGCAGCGCGTTTCAAGAGTGGACAGAGTAAAGGTGGCGCGGCGCAGAGTGGTGTGCTCTGGTGGGGGGCAAGCTGCAGTGGAGGACCCTCTGATTTCTTTGTGCATTCCGCCCCACTGGCAGGAGAGGGTGAGGCCTTGCAGCAGTCGCTTTCCCAGCTCACCGATGCCGCCTCTCTCACCGCCTCGCAGGTCGAGTGCCTTCATACTCTGACGAGCACAGGACCTGGGGTGCGTGCTCTCCTCGGCACTGTCGGTAGCGGTAAGACAGCGTTGATGCACGCAGCAAGCCTATCGCGTGGCCGTGTACAGGAGGCTTTGCGGCGGCAGCACCAGCCGCTCTGGCACGCGCTGATCAAGCACAGCTCGCAAGCACTCGCTACGCACGTTGGGGAGCTGGCGGTAACCGAAGGAATAGAAGATCTATTCAGGGCCGCGGACGGCTCCACCGCGCGGGACTTGCCGGAGGATGTCACCAACGCGGCGCTTGGGCATATTCACGAACACGTCCTCCTAAATGAAAAGCTGCGACAGTGCCAGGCACCCATGCTGCTGAGGCCGCGAGCGCTGAATGATGTGCCTCCGTCGCACACGCTTCGGGTGCTGCAGGATGATAGTGTTGCGCAGCACTATCATTCACTCGAGAGCATCATGGCTCAGAGTCACCAGCGGTCGTTGAACGCGCCACTCGTCTCCGTGCTGAGTGCATCGCTGCAGGGCCTGAGACGACTGGGAGACTGCATCAATGTTATGCGCCGGTCAACAGAGCGCGAAGACGCCTCCGAAGGCAGAGGAAGAGGAGGAGATGAGTGGAGGCTGTACGTCAAGCTTTTGCCGTGGATAATGTCGAAAAAGGAGCGGCGTGACACAGTCACAGAAGCCAGACGACGGGGGAAGACATGGGAGGCGTACCTCTCAGAGGATGTGTGGAATGTGGAAGCGGTGGTGAAGGGCAGCAGTGATATTGGTGCAGGCGAGGGGACAATGTGGAAAAACGTGGAGCCTGCAGTAAGTTCATTCGCTGCAGTCACGCTGCCGAATGCATCACGCAGTTTGTGTGCATATGAACGATCCGAAGCTGCGGGGTGGATGGCGGTATTTGGGGAGAAACAGAGAGATCTGCTTTATTTTCTTCAGCAGGAGATCATGGATGAGGTGCAGCATGTCTTTTCCATTTTTCTTGACGTGGTAAGGGCTGTGGCGGCGACTTCGCAAGTCTCGAAAGTGACGGTGGTGACAGCCACGGGACGGATGCTGCTGCAAGGGCTTTCCTTCATGCGTGTGTGGCAGCCACGGCATCTCGTGGTGGATGACTATGATCAACTTGGAGATCCACTGTACGTCACACTATCAGCGGCAACATCGGTGGTTCTTTCGCAGCAAACGGAATCTTCGATGACACATGAGCAGCATGTCGCGTTTGCCCTGCTTAAATCGCTGCAAAAGGAACTTCAAGGTACACCATACTCTTCTACTGTGGTGCTTGCGGAATCCCTTCGCTTCAATAGTCCAGAGTATCACAAGGCGGTGCAGTTGTGTCGCAATAGCTCGCTTGCATTCTATACAGTTGCGACGCGAGGTGTGGCAAATGCCAATGGAGGTGGTATTGCTAATAATCATACTGCTGGTGACGGTGCTGGGGACGGTGAGCAGGTTACGCATTCACGTGGAGCACTCACGGGGTTTTCGTCGCCGAGTTGTCTGGAGACTTGGACGCATGCGGTGCCTCTGTCGGCAGGTCTTGCTGCAGACGGCGTCAGCACCGCCTTTGTGTGTGATCGTATTCGTCGTATTGACCCGTCATTGGTGGTGAAAGTTTACTGCAGCTGCGCGACAGACAGGGCAGCAATCCTTGAGGGCATGCCGCCAGCGACAGGGGTGGACTCAGAAACAAATGGAGCGGTTTCTGTCTCTATGCTGCCGTTCCTACCAGATGTTTTTGTCGAGCGGGATGAGGAATGTGACATAGCTGTGTTGTGTCTCTCTGGGTTCGCGCGGCGTCTGCGTCATGTTGTTGGAGTGGAGCGACGGCAAGAGTGGGAACGACTGGCAGCGACACAGTCTTTTGTCGAACACATGGAGTGGTGGCTCTGGCGAGTCCTTGCGTACGCTCGATGTGGTGCTGTGCTGGTCGGCAGCAAGGAAGTCTTTCGCTTTATCGAGCCGCTGCAACGCGTGGAGCGCTTTGTTCAGCATGTACGCGAACAGCGTGGATACTGGCTCCCCCCTGAAACACAAGGCACAGTGCTAGCCCTAAGTTGCCCGGACCATGGGAACTGCCGCCAGCTCGCGCTGCTTACCTACGCCGATTACTGTGGATGCCAGGTACGTGTCATTGGCGTGCAGAAGTGCCGCTCGCTCTGCTTGGCGCCGTACGATGACTGTAATAACCCCTCCCATGCGTGCCTCCACGTCTGCCACATGATGTGCACAGAGAGGGAAGGTGGAGAGGAGGGCGCGGCCCCCTCGCACAGCCACTGTCCATTTCCCTGCACCAAGGTGCAGTTGTGCGGTCATATGTGCACGCGGCAGTGCGGGGAGCCGTGTCCGCCGTGCGAGTTCGTCGGACTACAGGAACTGGCGTGCGGGCAGCGCGTGGTCGCCGGCATGTCGGACACCGGCCCAACGCTGACGCTGGTGCGGCACTTCCAGGAGGTGCGCTGCGGGGAGGCGCCACAGCCGTGCGAAGCGCATGTGACACTTCGCTGCACGCGGTGTGGGGGAAAAAAGCCGATGCTCTGCCGCGAAGTGACAGCGCGCGGTGGGATGGAGCACGCCACAATGACGGAGCTCGAGTGCGCGGGTTGTATCGCGCTGTACAACCGTATCGCGAAGGAGGCCGGTGTCGCGGAAATAGCAGCACTAGCAACATCAGCAGCACCTGATGGATCTGCAACGGGCGATCTCCCCCTGCAGGATCTTCCAGAGGCGGCGCGGGTGAAGTTACAAAAGCTGCAAAGCATCGCCACGAAGAAGGCGCAATTGATGCTGCAGAAAGAAGCACTGGAGACGACACAAGGAAGGCAGACGTCTGAGTTCTACCAGCAGCAGGAAGTGTACAACCGTAGGCGGAAGCAACAAGAAGAAGAGGTGCTTGCACACCAAAAGCGTGTTCAAGAGAGCATTCATGCGTGGGCAAAGACGCTGAAGGAGAAGTATGAGGTGCAGATTACGGTGAACGAAGAGATGGAGACGGAAGTGCCGCTGATGATCAGCGAGGCCGCTGCTGAGGAGGAGAGGCAGCGGTCGTACCTCTTCGTGTAGCGTGTGTCTGTGTATATGCGTGTTAAGGTTGTGGATAAACAACCACTCCCACCCCCAACAACAACAACAACAACAACAACAGAGTAGGAAGGCAAAAAAAAGAGGGTTGCAGCCTTGATGCGCGACTCTCTCCATATCTATGCTTTTGCTGTGCTCATCTGTTGCGTCATTGGCAGCTTCTTGTTTCTTTTTTATTTGTTTGTATTGTTGTTCTTTTCTCATATGTGGCGCCTGTGTGTCATTGCACGTGGGGCGAAGCACATGAACAAAGCGCAAGCCTAAAAAAGAAGTGTAACGATTCGTCGATGCACTCTCGCGGGTGGGCATGCGTAGCCGCTTGTTTCTCACGCGTTCGAAGACCACGGGGGCTGCAGCAGCTTTGCGCGGATGCCGCCGTACTTCGTGTGACGCGGCGCACTTTCCTCGTGCGCTTCCACGAAACACCGAACGAGGCGTGCTACAAGTTCTTCGTGGACGATGTGGCGTTTCTGTCGGAGGACCACAGTGGCACGCTGCGCTTTGATCTTGACAACTGTTTTCAGTCGCCGCTGGCGGAGCAGATTCTGCACAACCTTCCCATGGTGGAGGAAGTCACGATTGGGCAGCATTTTGTGACGGTGCGGCGTGTTGACGATGATAATGCTGCTGCAGCAGCACGTTATTTCGCAATGAAATTAGGCACCGGTGCCGCCCCGCCAGACGAGGCGGCACAACGATCGGCAGCTCTGCAGCAGCGAGTAACAGACGCAATGAATGAGCACGAACACACTGCTGACATAGCAAAATGCACCAACTCTAATACTACCACTGCTACTACTAGTACTGGCAGCAACAACACTAACAACGATCAGAAGGAGGAGGAGGAGCAGGAGGAAGGAGGCGCGGCGGGGCACATTGATGAGGCAGCGATACGGGACCTTCTCCTTTCAACTCACTGGAGCGAGTTGAAACTCCATGTAAGTGGCCTTATCACAGATCACTTGTTCAGCGGACGGCCACACGTCGATTACGACGCACCGTACCCGCATGCTGACACGCTGCCTCAGGAGGGAGACTCTGAAGTGGTACTCATGCTGAAAGAGCTTATCGCAAAAACTATTCGACCACAGCTGCAGCTTGATGGTGGGGACATTCGCTTTGTGCGCTTGGACGGTATCGTCGTGTATGTGGAGATGCTGGGTGCATGTCGCAGGTGTAAGAGCAGCAAGACGACACTGCGGGATTTGATTGAGCGTACGATACGGCACTGGATTCCGGAGGTGCAGGAAGTCTGTGAAGTGGAGAGTAGCGATCCACGGCGTGAATGGCAAGCAGCAGCAGCAGCAGC